TGAAAAGAAGAGGCTTTTTTCTTGTTGTTTTTAATGTATTGTATGAAATTATTTTTTCTTTCATTTTTTCCCCTTTGGTTTAACCCCTATTGTCACCGTTTTTTCTTTTTAATTTTGGTAACCTGTGTCTTGTAAATATATTTATCTGAGCTGGGTAAGGGAAGGGGAACATCAAAATTGTGAGACAAAGGACAAAGGGTGAACCAATACAACAGTGATGCTCACAAGACACTACATTGGAAATGAATTTTACTTGGGGGAGGCGGGTCGAGGTGGGGAGAGGGAAGGTGGGAGAAAAACAAAGGACTGGGGGTAACAATGTTCGACAAGAAATGCACTCATTACCTTATGTATGTAACTGTAACCCCTCTGTACATCACCTTGACTATAAAACTAAATTTAAAAAAAAAAGCAACTTCTTTTGTCAAGGTCACTAAGGGATATGTCAAAATCCTCATATTTCACGACGATTACATATTCCTAACGGGATAGTGAGTTCTGTTATCTTTACTTTCAAAATATACCTGGAATCTGACTATCTCCAAAGCTGCTTCTTTCTGCTGCAATGATTTCCTAGAATGCCTTTCTCTGTGCAGGGTCCCACTGTCTGTCCTCCATTGCTTTCTAATTGGTCCTGTAGGTTTGGTGAGGATCTGTGGTTAACAAAAGACAGTGGGATGAGGTCTATTTCTTGTTTGTTCTATTTCTTTCTGTTTGACTTTTATTCACTAGGCCCACTCTTTCTGGTGAGATGAGAAGGCAAGGAGGAGCTCCAGACTCATCATCACCCAGTTTTCAAGTCCCAGGAGAAGGAAATTTGTCTCCACGGCAAACATGATTGGCGAATTTTGCTGGAGTCATGTGTCAGTCTCTTAACTAATCAAAGTGGTCAAGATAAACAAGTTACTCTGACCAGCCTAGGCCAGAGGCCTAATGTAATTGCTGGTCTGGGAAGAGGCCATAATAATGAATGTTTTGCTGATACAACTTGGAACTAGAAACCAGAGAAATCAGAAAAATGAGACTAAGAAGAATAAAACTACAGATACAAATACAGATTATGGTAATTATGGTAATTATGGTAATGACCATAATTGAATAGCTTATATTTTGCTATAAATCAGTTTCTTAATTCTTTTAATCCCATTTCTCCATCTAAAGGTGTTAATACTTCACAGCAGTAATGTGAAGTTTAAATGATTTTATGTGTGTCAGGAGTCTTTGCAAAAGACGAAATGATATACCTTATTACATAAATGTTAGCTATTATAAAATCTAACTATGCCATCAGTGGCTGATAAAATATGGGCAGACATAGAAAATGACCTTTACAATTTACAACAGTGGAGAAGTAGATATCCATGGAGGTTCTCACTACTTGTACTCAGTATGGTACTGGAAGTTTGAGCCAGACTAGATAAATGAAAGGCATGCAAATTTCTAAAGAAATAATTTTTGTTTGCATGTGGTATATGTTGAAAACCTTATAATTCCACAAAACATTAGAATTGATCAATGTAGTTGATACAGAGGCAATATACAAAAACCAGCTGCAGTTCTATACGTTAATTGTGAACAATCAGGAAATTAAGGAAAAATTATGTGTAATAGTATATACCGTGGTCTGAATGTTAGGCAGACTCAAAATTCCTATGTTGTAGCTGATTCCTCAGTACAATGGGCACCTGTGAAGGGCTTCAGTCATGAGAGTAAACTGCTCACGAGAGGGGTTAGAACTCATAAAAAAGAACTAAGGGAGCTCTTCCATTCTGCACAAGTCAAGGGAAAAATAATCACGACAAACAGGACCCGTGCTTCCCTCCAGACCAAAATTCAGCTCACCACTAAATTATTAATGAATTTTATGTGACCAAGTAGGCACATTATTATTATTATTATTAGTGAATTTTATGTGACTAAGTTAACGTATTCAAGTCTTGTTTGTGGTGGGGTGGGGAGGAGTATATGTGAGTCTATGTATTGAATGGGTACTTTATGCAGAAGATTATGGAAAACCAGTCTGGACTTCTAAGTGATGAGTACAATGATAAACTATGTAACATATGATGCCCAAATATTACTCATTGCTTTTTAGCTATCTGACTCAGGTTAAGCTCTGGTTAATGAAATAGGCAGGCTCCTATGGTCAGGTGGAGGAAGAGTAATACATCCCTTTCCAGCTCCACCATCCTCATCTAGAGCAGCACCGGCTATTTGTCCAGGAGTAAATTAGAGAAGCAGAAAGCATATTTGGGGAAGGTAGCTGCATATTATATCTTTCTATTCTTCAGATTTTGCACTGTGTTTTAATATTAGGAAAACTGGGTTTCACAGATGAAGTGAAAATTGTTCCTATCCTCAGAGATGATTCAAAGAATGCACATAAAGAAAGGAGATTCTGTATGAATCTAGAGTGGAGGCAGTCCTCGGAGACCTGAGATGTCTCAGGATACTTCCTTCATTGTGGTGGAGCCCAAAGGGAGATGGGTTTAAGTAGTTTTTTATGTGTGTTCCTTTCTTATATGCAAGAAGGGACCACGAGACTCTTATAAAGTATACGCTAAAATACAACAAGACAAAGAAGAAATAAATACAAACAGCTACAAAAAGCCAAGCATCACAGTTCTCATTCCAAAGAAGTGATAGAAATTTTCCCATCCCAGTGGGATGACTGTAATATCTGTAATAGGGAACCAAACATCATCTCTCCTTTTCTTTTTCTCTGAATAAGTTATCTCAGGGGAAACTGCACTGAATTTCAGAAATTAAACGGAATCAGAATGCTTAGTTTCCATACCAACCATGTGGCTTCTTTTTAGTTTCTCATTCATTTATCTAATCAGCCAATAAATATTTATTGATTGCCACAACTATTTATTGTCTGTGCAGGTACCGATGGGAGAGTTAAGAACAAAGTAGACCTCTGTCCTCATGAAGTTTCAAGTCAAATGTGGGAAATAAATACTAAACATTCAAATAAATGTGCCAGTAGAGAAATCCAAAGAACATCCGGGGCTTTTCTGGGAGAAAAGATTTAGCTAGAGTCCCCAGTCTGGGTGTTAGGATGATCAGAAGCTCTGCTGAACACATGTCCCAGGACCTTCCTCTGCATTTAGGCTTGCTATTTGCTGCAATGAAGCAGTAGTCATTCTGCTGCTGTGGGACATTCATTCACATAAAGTGCTGGTCAAAGGGGTTAACTTTCAAGATAGTGTAATGGCAACGAAGACCTTCCACATAGTCAGGCTGCACATTGAGTGCATGTGAAGAAAGACCTTGGATATTCTTGGGTTTCAAGGTCCATTTAACCACTCGTCTTTATTGTTGGACTTTTATTCCTCTTCAGTACCAGTTCCCACTACTATCTCCCCAGTTTTTGCTTCCTCTGTGTTATTTCTCTCCATGTTCCTTTCTCTTGCTTTCTTTCCCATCATTGCTCAAAAACAACCAACCAACCAACCACCAGAAATCAAGATCCAATGGAAAAAAAAATTCCCTCTATCCTTTGGGATCCTATAGCTACCACGCTCTCAGAATTAAAACTCCACAAGGCTTATTTATACACTGGTTATGTACTTACCATAAACCTTTTCTATCCTAGCTGGTAGCTGGTAAGATATATAGTGTGAGTCTGGCTATATGACAAATGATGCTACATGCTTTGATATTAAAGTAGGAGGTACAACCAAGTACAGGACGAGGATCCAATTTAAATGAGAAATTAGAGCAGAAAAGATAACCTTTAGGAGGACTCGTCTCAGAGTATGGGAAGAGCATTTCTGGTAGAGGATCAGCACATGTGTAATTCCTTGGGAGCAAGAAGAGAGATGGGGAGGTGAAGAGGTAAGCGAGTCTAGGTAATTAATACCTAGTTCTATATCCCTGACTCTTGTCTAACAAACAAAATGACATCATTAATAGTTTTGTCTAAGCTTGGAATTTATTTGGTTTTGAAACAGAAATGGTTGTGCCAAAGCTGACAACCTCATTACATACAGAGACACAGACACACTCACATGTACACAGACACACACACAGGCACACAAATGGTACCTAAAGCACCTTCTTCCAGGGCCATGTAATTTTGCATATTAAAAAGGCTATCTGACAATCATACACATGATTCTGGGTCAGCCAGGCAATAAGCTGAAAATTAGGTTCATTTTCCTTTCATAGGAATGTTTCCTGAGGAGAAACCTGGACTATAAGAGCGTCTATAAGAGCGTAAAAAGTGTCTGCCAGCAGCACGTGAATTCTCTACCAAGTTTCAGGATTTGTATCTGCTCAACTGATACTTCTTATTTCTCCCTTGAAGTGCAAGTAGCTTCTTGCTCCATACTGTGCCTTCCTGTTACCAATGCATGGCAGGAAAGAAGTGTAAGTTCTGTTTACCACCAGGGTAAAATGTCCTCCCTACTTCATTCGTATGTAGGGTACTTTTTGATGTCCGGTATGCCCCAGGTATTCACAGGTCCTGTACACATTGTGCTCACCGCTTACTACCTGGGTTGATCTGTCCTTTCACACATTATGTATCATAGTAGTAGATGCATGAGCTACATTTCTTATATTTGAAAATAAATTATTTCATTTGATTGCCCAACCCTGTCTGTCCCAATCCCAATCCACCTTCTTTTCTGGCTCCAGTCTTCCTTTTCAACTACTAATAGTTTCAGCTACTAATAGTGCCTTTTAGCTGTCTTTTTTGTGTGTATGTATGAAAGTAATAAATTAAGATAGTCATCATGAGGTGGTTTCTCTTGCTTAAGTCTACATTAGTATGCTCACAGTGTTAAGTGTACAGGAATTCATTTCAGGGTCAATAACGTTCAGTGACCTCAGAAAGTAAACTCTCCATTTATAATAACGTGTAAGTCTTATACAATGGTGACTTGCCATACAATATAATAATTAAAAAATGAAGAGATGTTGAGGAAGTGGTTATCTTCTTCAAAAACGTATCCATTGGTCCTTTGCTGAAGTTGAATTGGCCCCAGGTGCTAAAACTCTGTCCGGTCATCTTGTGAGTCTACACTGATGCTGGAACCTTGGCTACTGGTATCAGCATTTTCATAGCACTTTTGATCTTTGGCAAAGTTGATGAAAACCTATTGGATTTTTTTCCAAGGAAAAAGAACATCATTAGTGCCAGTAACAAAGGAAGACAAAAGATTAGTAGTTCTTTGCTTCTATGACTCTCTCTCTTTCATACACACACACACACAATTAAACATCAGATAAGAAAGGTAGGTTTTATCACATCATGTCTTTATGCATATGTATACCTTTATTAGGACTCATGTTTTAGTCACCTTTAATTTTGGCTGCAAACAACATCATACTATTACATACTATGATTACATTAATAATCATTATGTATATTTAAGGCTTCAGTGGAATATCTACAGTTATTTATTCATATCCATATTCTCCACATCTATTATCTCTATTACATATAGACAAGAAATCCTGCCCAAAGTCATACCAAATGTTTATGTAGAAGTATTCAGAGTAATTGTACTAGTTTTAAGACTGAAATAAAAATTGTAGAGTTAAGTTAATCAATGGTTATATTGTTAGCCAATTATTTAATAAGCAGACCTTTTATAGGTTTGTATTAATCAAATCTGTTATAGATTCATGGCCAAACACTCAGGAATTTAATTATTTAAGGCAAAGTTTGGTGCTAGTAGTTGCTCATAAGTCTAACGGTAAAGCTCTGTTTGCAATGCTATAGTGTCTTATGTCCCTATCATAATACCTAAAGTCTTATAACATAGTTGTCCATAAAAAACAGCATGATACACTGTCTGAGAGGCTCATTCCAATGGTGGCTATATCAAATATACTATAAACCATATTAACTGGAACTGCATAATATTAAGACAGTACAGAGGTGATAAAGAATGACCTAGAAAGCCTCTTGTTATTGAGTGTAAATTCAGATAGTAAGTGAAAGAAAAGAATTTCCTGTTTTAATTGTGTGAATTTGGTTAGATCTAAAGATCTGCACATTCTTTCTAGCTAACACCAAGCCACCTGAATACAGGAAGCCAATCCAGTAGAAGAGAATTTATGGAACCTACCAAGTCCAAAGTAAGGGAAATGTTAACAGCTATTTATCTGGTAACTGAATACAGTGCTTTGTTGCTTTACATAGACATATAAATTTGTGGATATAGATATCTTATAAAAATGAGTAGGAAAAAGCTTAATGTCTTCATTAAAAGGTAGTTAATGCCTCTTGAATGGTTTTCTTAATATTCCAAAATGCAGTTAGAAGTAAATTTGGCTCTCTGCTAAGTTTTTCAGGTGCAAGATTACATATTACTTCTATTAAAATAAATAGAATATCATTAGAGAGAAATACCTAGAATGCATAAGGACCAATATGACATTGTGAATGTAGCTCACAGTGCACATCTTACCTCTTCCAGAGTGGTCTGACTCACAAGGAAATTTGTGATATTTAAAGCCGTCTTGTTGGTTTCTAGCAAATCAAAAATGTTTGCTACTCCTCCTGCTGTAACTGGTACATGGTACTCCAGCATGCTAAGGTGCTGATCCTGCCCAAACCAAAGAACAAACTTGTATTGCAATGTATTCTCATATTGACTTGATTAGCTATAATGTTACCCAAGAGCTAAGAGAAATATCCAAATGCAATTCATTGCAAAGGACATCATTTCCTCTGGAAAACATTTTTGGGATGATATTCCGCCCATTAGCGTAGGCTCCGCTCACGTAAAGGTCCACGGAGATCAGTGTTTAAAAGTGAATTTCTCTGTTGGATTGTGTTACAATGCCAGGAATTAGCTGTTCAGTTTATGCGAGCTACAATGGTAGATTTCAAGAGCCTTGTTCATTAGGTGGTGCAGTTCCCTTTCTGGTATCACCATGTTGTTAGTAGCCTCTACTCCTACTGCCTTAGAGTATTTTTGTCACCTTGCTTTTCTGGATGTATAATTTATTACAATGTCTTAAATTTTTTGCTTTTTGTTTGTTTTCTGTCAGATATCTCTAAAATTTAACTTTTCCTACTTGTACCACATTATAACATTATTGGTTTGATATTCCTTCCTTTCCTTCCTTCCTTCCTTCCTGTTTTCCTTCCTTCCTTCCTTGCTTCCTTCCTTCCTTTTTTCCTTCTTTCTCTCCTCCCTTTTTTCTTTCCTTCATTTCTCCATTTGCTTCCCTTCCCTTTCTCCTGTCTCTCTCTCCATCCCTCCCTTCTTACTTCTTTGCATTTGCTAAGCAGATGTACTATCTTTTTACTTTACATATTTTTTTACATATTTTACTTTACATATTATGTTTACAAGCCCCATTTTTAACCTACCTATGCCTCCTGCATAGCTGGGATTATAGACATATGTTATTGTTCCCTGCTAATTATTGAAATGAAATTGTGTTAACATTTTGCCCAAGATAGCCTAAACCCATAACCCTCCCAATTGCAGCCTTCCAAGTAGCTTGGATTTCAGACATACATTTCTGGCCTTGGCATGATCAGATATTTTCTTACTGAGAAATCTACCCCTGCAATTTCTTGGGATCTGATTCCAGTGGTATTTTTCATACTGATATTCAAGATGTCTTCCTTATTCCCTTAGTTCAAGGCCTGGCCTCTCCCATAGATTTGATTTTCCATTATGTGTATTGTAATCTGGCCATCCTGATTATTTTCACTTTCAATTTGTTTTTCTAGCTATTTCCCTTGTAGATATGTAGAAATGGCTGCCTTCATGTAAAGGATGCTTCCCTTAGGGAGAAAGCAAACTTTTATCATCATTTCATGTGCTTTAGATAGTTCTGCTCTCATGAAGAACAGATCAGGAAAACTAATTTTGCTACTCAGTCCATAAAGATTTCAGCCCAGAAATTCACTAAAAGCAAAAGTATGAGTTAGAGAAGAAAGGTGTCCTTTAACTTGTGTTTTGATTTAAATTTATATGATAGAAAATAAGCTTTGAAAAAAAGCATGAAAGCTATTATTTCCTATAGAAGTGAACTAAGGATTGGGGAGGCAGAGGAAAGATAAAAGAATTCTTTAAAAAATACATTGTTTTGTTTACAGAATCAGTTAAATTAACATTGTGCCTTGTAGCTCAATGAAGTGTCAGTATGGATACTTTATCATTATGTTCCCACACCAATTTGGGAAAGTAGCTGTTCATATCCCTATTGGCAAATAAGAAAGAAGTGTTTCATAGTCTAAAAGTCTTATTGAATATCACCTCAGTGCAGTGGGGGTCAACCCACATTTCCTGGTTTATTTACATTATTTCATGCCTGATCTTCTTTTTAACAACAAATATTTGCCATCATCAATTTCTGCACAGGGCCTGTCCATAAAATGTCTTGTTTTTGTTCTGGTAAGTATACGTAAGTCTGTGCTCTGTGAAATTCATATGCACATATCCCTGTGTATCTGGCCTGTAGCTAACCGCTATATACATGCATAAAATCCCCACTATGATAGTTCTGGTAGTTGAGAACTGCTTAAACTTTGGTGAATTTTTTATATTTATTTACTTATTTATTTATATGCCAGTATTGGGGCTTGAACTCAGGGTCTCACACTCTCTCTTGGCTGTTTCGCTCAAAGTTGGTTCTCTACCACTTAAGCCACACTTCTACTTCTGGCTTTTTGCTGGTTAATTACAGTCAGATTTCTATACCCATGGGGCTTCAAACTTTGATCCTCAGATCTCAGCATCTAGGATTCCAGTAGCACCAGACCAGGATTTATTTTTTAAGTGAGAGGAACAAAGGAGATCAACACTTCAAACTATGTCCCTCTGAATTATTATTATTATTAATTAGTCAGTCGTGGGCTGGCACTTGAGCCACAGCGCCACTTCTGGTTTTCTGGTGATTTATTGGAGATTAGAGTTTCACAGACTTTCCTGCCTAGGCTGGATTTGAGCCACAATCCTCATATCTCAGCCTCCTGAGTAGCTAGGATTATAGGCGTGAGCCACTGGTGTCAGGCTCACTGTTTATTTTTCTAAGGGTAAATGCATCTCTGGTCATGTTATGCAGGTCATCTCTCATACAGAACTAATAAATGGTAGCTTACATAATTTGAAATCAAATATAGTGTAAACATAAAGTCTTGTGAGAAAAACAACTACATACATAAAAAGACTATGTTAACTGTATAAAAACTACCTAATTTGAAAATTCTTCAAATACCTGATTTGAAAATTCAATTTATTCATATTAAGTGTAACTCAAAGAATCTTATACACATCTTAGTTCAAGAACTAAGCTAATACAATTAGTACCAAAGTTATGATCACCTCGGAAGTATCAACATCTGCTATTAAAACTGACTGCCAAAGCCAGGTCAAAGGTCAAGATAGCAAGGTCAAAGTATGCCACCACTTACTTTCAAGTATGTTTTTGGAAAGTGTAATTGCATGAACCTCGTGAGGGTCTCCATGCTCACTTTGCTATTTTTCAAGTGAACCTTGACAGTAAATCCACGTCCAAACCTATATGAAATAAAGTGAAAAATGGTATGAGTTACATTTGCCAACAGGGTTCCCCTAGAATTCTAGGTAATGAAACAAGACCCAAGCTGACTATTAGGCCTCTTTTTCTTATATAAAGACTGTAATTTTCACCATAAAACTTTAGGACATGTTACAAACTGGAACTAGTTCAATGCTATAATTTTCTGTCTATTTCTATCTCTGCTGAGTCAGATTCTTTGGGTAAGGGCAATACTGCAAAAACAAACAAACAAACAAAATCTGTGACATCTAACAAATATGTCAGTTTATATTGACATCTATGATTTGGTGATGGATGGCAATTTCTGGGGTAAAAATACTTTCTAATTTAAAGAGAGCATATTCATGAGGGGCAGATTACTGGAGATTTGATATCAGCAGTAAAATTTAAAATCATCAGAGATATGAAAATAAATATTAAATGAAGAAGCCAGAGCTAATGCCACTGGGAGTAGATTTTGTAATCTGGTCCCACTAAACTGCCTAAAAGCAATGTAAGGTCTCTGTCATCCTTTATTCCCCTGTCTTGGTTAATATTATTTTATAAGACAATCAAGTTTCTATATGGAAAGATATAAAGTATCATAATGAAGTTTAGAGATTAACATGGATATGTAAAAATGTGAATATACTCTGGTGAATATAAACTACTTATTTAATTTAAAATTGATATTTATGCATATTTCCCCAATGTATTCTTGATTAAAAGGTTTTCAGTGTGGTAAAATGTTAAATAGCTTACTGAGTGCCTGTATAAATGGCAAATGAATGTGCTAGAAGGAATTCCATGCCTTCATGTACTTTTATAGTTTACTTTTGCTATTGCAAAAAGTCTTGCTTTCTAAGAATATTTTGGTTGTAGATTATTTATTATTGTTGTTAGTACTGCTATTTATTTATTTAGGAAGTTGCACTTTGGCTCAAAGTGGTAGAGCACTAGCTTTAAGCTGAAGAGCTCAGAGACGGTGCCTAGGCCCAGAGTTCAAGCCCCACAACTGAATAAACTTTAGACCTTCTGATATTTGGGCTAGTTGACTAAAAACACGGCCGATTTTCAATAAAATAACTTCTACTTAAGGGTAGGTTGCTCAGATATCCCTTGGCTGTCTCTATACCAGTCAATTTGTTACTATAGCATGTGTTAAAAAGCTCATTTGTTCTTTACCTGCTCTTTATATGCTGCAGCGATCCAATGCATTGGAACCTTCCATTCACCATGATGGCCAGCCTGGTACAGAGAGCTTCACATTCTTCCATGCTAAAAGATATTAACATTCAAGGCACAGAAAATGGGTTGAGTCTAAGCTTAACTATTTCATTATGGCACCCAGAAATTTCTTTTGAAGGAGAATTTTAAAAAGCTCTTAAATTATCAATTAAACATCTTCAGGTAAGGTTTATTATTGTTCTTCTAAACTTGAGGTCATCCTGGAGTGCCCCATTCTCAAACCCAAGCTGTTTCTTTCAAGCTGTTTTAAGCTTTGACTCAAGAACTGTATTACCTAAGAAGGGTTTGTGGAATAGCCTCAAGCTTTGTTCATTATGCCTCATGGTCCAATTGTTGTCGGTGGGTTTGGATTTATCTCTAGTTAGCCTTTATTCACTCTCTCATTTCATGGGCTATGATAATTGGAAGTGCTTTTAGGTTGTCACCCTGTGCATATACTGCATACAAACATCATGGAAAAAAATTGAGTAGCTACAGTATACTCAGTACAAAACTAGGATGTAAGCAAGTTTCTTGATATGAATCACTTGTAATACCTTTCTACTATATAACCATTAATAATGCAAGGTGAATTTAACCCAAATAATAACACGAGGTCAATATCATAAGAGATGCACAGATAAAATGCTTTAGTATTGTTCAAACTATATTAATTGGAAGGGACTACTTCATAGGGAAGAGATGTATATGAACTAGTTCTGGAAGGACTAGTAAAACTGGAATATGAAAAGCTTTTCTAAATAGATAATTTTTAAAAAGCAGGTATAACCACAGAGAGACAAAGGACGAGGTAGTGTGTGGATGTGAGACCTTAAGTCTCCCAGATTGACTGAAAGGAGAGCATGTTAGAGGAGAGGGGGAAAAGAGACTGGAACTTTAGATGAAGTCATACAATAGAAAACTTTGGATGAGCTTAAAGGACTCTGAACTTTAATAGGCAATAGGGAGCCACAGTTGGATTAAGGGGGTCATAAATCACAAGAACTTTGCTATTGACAATACTGCTTAGAATCTATACCCTGTCCTGTAACAGTATTCTCATCGTGGAGCCCACATGACTGGCCTCCACTACTACAAATATATAATAAATACTCTCATATGAAGGCAAGCACTAATTATGTACACATAACACAGGATTGCCTTTCTCATCTATCAGCCTGTGTCATGTACCTTTAAAGGTCCTGCCTCTTGGAAGTGGCGCTATGGCTCAAGTGGTAGAGCGCCAGCTTTGAGCTGAAGGGCACAGGGACAGCGCCCAGGCCCAGAGTTCAAGACTCACAACTGACTAAATAAAATAAATAAAATAAATACACACATAAAGGTCCTGCCTCCGATTACCTGTGAGATGTGAGGATGACGGAGCATTTGTTCTGTACTTCTTCTGAAATGATCTTCCAAAGGTGCCGTTTTGACTTAGGATCCATTCCGGAGCTCGGCTCATCCTGAATAGTTACCAGAAAAATGGATCAAATTAATAATTTTTTTGATGAGGCCCTCTACACAAATCACAGAGTCTCAGTTCCTCTGAACAAAAGTTGCTTTTTCAGGTCTTGGAACTAATGTGTTTTAGTCTAAATAGGCTGCTTTCTACTGCTGTCAGAAAGCTCAAAATCATGTATCTGAAATGATCAGTCTATTAAGAAAAGGTATTTCAGGGAAGTTGACATCCTTTTCCTTTACATCCTTCTCCCAGGGTTCTTTGGAAAATTATTCTGCTTCACTTACTGACAAAACAGAGTTTTTACATTTAATTACATTGTCACATATGTTCCCGGAGCTACATCAACAAGATTGCTATGTCCTAAAAGTACAATTGTGGTGGTAAGAATATGGTATAGAAAGCAGAAAACAACAACAGCAACCACACACAAGTTGATATTTCAGTGAATGTTTAAGGTATAGTTTTTTAATATTATTAATTGAAATTGAAGACTCCTTGGAAATATATAAAAGCTGTATTTAAGTTGTCATCTAGAAAAATACATGTTATTTTTTTGCAAGTGAATAGTGATTTGGAAAATTATTTAGAGTCCAGATTAAAATAATATAATATTGGAGCATCTAAATAGGAATAGAGCCTGACAGAAGATTAAAAAGTATAGCTCAAGATGAGATAAAAAGTTGAAAGTTGTATCTGTAATAGAAACTACGTACACAGCATAATGAGAAGTTTGATTTATAGTAATGTATTAAATTTAGAGAAAGGAATGAGTGTTAATTTGGGAAACAAGTATAAGAGATACTATTACTGCTCCCATTTTTTTTTTTTACAAAAATCACATATACAGTAAATAGCAATAGGAGAGAATACAGTCTCTTGTCCTTCATAGCTGGTATTGCAGTTCATCTCATTACTACATAATACTTACGTAGTGCTTTCAGCATTTTAAAATAGATGCTTTGCATCTATTATCTCACAGGGGGGCCTAAGGATTGTTTTGTTCAGTTTAAGGGACTGTTACACAATAGAATTCTATTATAAGCATCGATTGGCAGGCATGAAATGCATTATAAGCTGCCAGAATCATAGAAAGATGGGACTGCCTCATTCTATCTGGGCAGTTTAAATGATTTGATCCACTCTATGATTTAATCCTTGGAATAATGTGGCAATTTATAATGGGATTTTTATTGTATATAGTTAAGGCTTTTTCAGAGTTTTGAAGTCCTTGAATGAAAGCAATCTTGTACATTAAGGGCGAGTTTGTATCCCATTCCAATGCTGGGCCTGGGAAGCAGGCTACTGTATTACTATCATGTGCAATTTATATTTTCAGGTGATCAATTTAGTTTTCCAGCTTTTAACTAAAATGTAAATGTGGATTTTTTTTTTACAGTCTCCCTTTCAAATTCAGGGAAAAAAGCATGAGGTATTATGTATTACATCCCAAGGTAGGATGATCATATTGTTAAGTTTCAAAAAAATAATATTTTAGTATAACACATTTTCTTAAAATACACTTGTATTTTTCTTAGTAGAGACTGGAAAACATTAAGTTAACCTGATCAGTTCCTAAGAGAAAAAAAAGAGGACAGGATTTCATTTTTTAAAAAAAGGAAATTAAACTGTATCATGTTTTCTACTTAGTGATATGATCAGTTGAATTTGTTCCAGTGTCTTTTCATTCCCCTCCTGAGTTTGTTTTTTCCTCTGATGCTTCCTACATCATTGCTTCAAAGATTTTATTTTTGAGGATGATGTGGTTCTAGTGTATCTGTTTCTACAAATTCCCTTAATGAGATACTACGAGTGTTTACACAATGACTGGCATCCAATGAACCCTAGCTTAGTGTAGGCTGTGGGGATGATGACGTGGTAACACAGCACACTTCTGCTGCAGCCTTGCTTACAAAGCTGCTCTTACCAGGAGTAGGATGGAAGGCTTCCCGATCAAGGCCAGGGCAGTAGACAATTTTCTCTTTGTGCCATAGCTGCACATAGAAGTGGGTTTGTCCTTGTAGGGCATCAAGTGAAGTCTCCTGAGGAGTTTATGAACAGTCTGTGGATAATAAAAGAGGAATTAGGTTGACCTTCCCCTGCCAAAACCCTTAAAGCACCAAATGGAAGAAAATCTGCCTGTGAAATGAAACTTTCATCATTTAGAACAGAAGCCTAGGAAAAAAATGAGCGCATTTAAATTCAACACAGATTTTATTTTCATTTTCAAAGGACCTCTTTAAAATTAATAGTTCATTTAAAGAGATAAAAGCAATTCCTTGGGGGCTTATCTTCAAACAGGACTTTTCCCCCCAAATGTAGGTATGTATGTTTACAATTGCATGTGGTACTTTATGCTGTATTGCTATAGGACTCACCTATAAAGCTTAACAGCTTAATAGAGATAAAACCTAATTCACAGGCAGGTTTCATCCTGACTATCAGCCCTGCTTGGTTTTTCTGCTCACTGGGGGATGGGCTGTCACAAAGCCTGTAAGTCTATTTAAATCTGACCCACTGTCAAAACTGTGACACACTAGGAATCATGTTTCTTGTGCTTATTTCTATTGTTAAATAGTCCTGGCAAATGAGAAATCCTTGCTGGACTTATACAACAGGTCCCAAGGGTTGCAAACACAGAGGAACATGCCCTAAGGGTTAACCAATCCATTTCAAAGGCAAACAGTTTGCTGGAGTTATGAAGCCACAGATTAAAGGTCCAACTGGAGGCTGTGGACATAGCTCAGTTGAAGAGTTTGTGCTTCACCTGCGTGAGATCCTGGGTTCAAACTCTAGCAGCAAAACAAATACAATAACATTTTACAAAGAAGCTATTCTGCTTTAATATGAGCATTTTGCTCTTTTTTTTTTTAGTATTTTGCTCTTCTGTCTATGTATCAACTATAATTCGAACACCAGGGAAGTACAAGCATCACCAAACAACGCTCAACTCAGAAGCGAATGATCTGTCTTACAGTTCTTAAAAAAGCAACTGAACAAACACATGCCAAGCTATTTCTAAAGCTGACTCCATAGGTGTAGACAGAGGACACACAATCACGTCCAGTTGGGTTCCTTGTTGATGGAGGAGAAAACGGTTTTTTCCACATCCAATTGATTTTCTGGAAGCATGGTAGGGACAGGGAAAAGCAAATAGCATACTCGTAATTCAAAGGAACTGAGTTTGCACCTGCATACTCACTTCTTTAATATCTTTTTCTGGAATTCCATGTACCCTGGCATAGAAATACAAATGTTCTTCCACAGATACCAGGTCGTCTAAGGCATCTTCCTGAGGGCAGTAGCCAACTAAGGAACTGTGAGATTCCATGTGACCCAGGGACCTGCATTGAAAAGACCAGTCACACATGAGTTCTGAGACAGATCTCTCCTGGCCCCCAAATGGTGGAAGGTGGCTTCATTTTGATCATTGTAATGATCATGGTATTAATTTTCAGCTAAACAGAGAGATAAAATAATTTCACTATCAGAATCATACTAAAAGGTTTAATGGTTTCTCTAGTCATTTCAGCTGATTTCTTCTCCCTGGAGATGGGATAGTATCACCACAAAATTCTATGAAATGTTCATTAAAACTATCTTAATTGTGTTGCAGTAGGTGAGTGGTCAGCAGGTAGGAGCAGCAGATATTCATACCCTGTCTTATTTCGGATCAGAATGTTTCCACTTGAAGGAATGATATCTCCAGTCAACATCTTGAATATCGTGGTCTTCCCAGCTCCATTCACCCCAAGAAGGCCAAAGCACTAGTAGGATGGGGGAAAAAACATGGATGTAAACCATGGAGATACTCTTATATCTCTCCTCCCTGGTTGTAATAAGTTTCTAAGAAAAATGAATCCAGAATCATCAGAATTATTTACAGATGCTCTACTGCTCTGGTGGCATTTGGTAAGACTTTCTCTTTTAGAAACAAATGGGTACTTACACATCTTTTCTTCCTTTAACAATATGAAACTTTGTATATGTAATGAAGATCATATTTCCATAGTGTTGTTATGGCATCCCTTTCCGGGACATGATGAAATACCCCACAAGTAAGAGAGGCTAATTTGATGAAGTAATTATACTTATAGATCCCATATTATTCACACCAAATCATGACTTGGCTAAATAGACCACAGAAGCAATATTTTCTTTGTGCTATTGAATAAATTTGATGCATGAAGTTTGTGGCTCTGCTCAGAAAACTAAGGAAAATATCAATAATCATTTTTTCTTGCAAAGCTACCCTAATATCGCATCAGTGAAAGCAGTGATACACACCTATGTATACATACATATAGACACTTCACACACATTATGTTTAGTATGTGCATGTGTGTGTGTGTGTGTGTGTGTGTGTGTGTGTGTATGCAGTCCTGGGATCTTATCTATGAAAACTTCTGCCTTGTTTTGGTGGTACTCTGCTACTAGAGCCATGAAAACAGCCTTTTTGCTTTGTTTTGTTTCGGACAGAGTCTTTTGCTAACTCTGCCTAGGCTGAATTCAGACTGTAATCCTTCTGATACCACCTCCCGAGCCGTTGAATGCACCACCAATCCTAGCTAGGTTATGATTTCTTCATTGTATCTTTTGAAAGGGCCTGGAAATGAAAGATTGAAAAGAGTATTCTGAATAGACTTCCTTTCCAAAAGTCCACCCAAGAATGGATAACAGTTTGAGAAGGGGCTCAGGACTTAGTATGGTATTAGCTAGTAAATCCTTCCTGCTGAGAGGGAAGATTCATACAGCAAACAGTATGTCCACATATTAATAAATTAATCACATATTACATATCTATCTATCTATCTATATATCTGTATAAAATGTATGTATATGTACATCCATGCACACATATATACACATATATCTGGTAATATTCAGAGCTTGGTTACATTCCTAGACAAAAATTGAAGAATAATAACGACTTTTCTTGTTCCTTAAACAAATATGGCAAGATGGAAGCAACATAGTTCCCAACCTCTCCAGCAGGTATCCCCAGGCTGATGTTGTTTACAGCTATGATCTTTTTGTGGATAAGTTGGTAGGTCTTTGTGAGACGATGGAGTTGGACCAGGTCAAACTCAGCTGCCCCACTCTCAACTCTCAGTCGCTCAGTCCGTACATCTTCGTCTTCATCTATTGTCTCCGTTACAGGAGAAGATGTAAATTTTCTGAAGAAGAGTCTAAAAAATGGACACAGTTATTTTACATCAATGATTTTGAGGGTACTACTCAGGTTTGATATATGCTATGGCTTTATTCTTTACTGATTATTCTATTATTGGATTTCTTTTAAACTTGTAATGTATGATGATGCTACTCAGATAACTTAGAGCATCTTAGCATAGACTTTCCCTACTGTATGTGCTACAATATTTGAGAAAGAGCTTTGGCCTTCCATGTCGATAATGTTTACAGACTCACCATGCAAATTCAGAATCCTAATAGTGGTAGCAAGGAGATACTGGTTTCAATGTTACTTCCTAATAAAGTTCACTATCATTATGAGGAGTCAATACCTATAAGCTAAAGTCCAAGGATCACCCTTAAAAGAAGAAAGAAGAATCTATTCCTTCCCCTCTCCCCTCCTCCCTCCCTCTTTCCCTTCCTTCTTTCCTTTCTTTGTTCTCTTTCCTTCTCCCTTTTGTTTTTCTCCTCATCCTTCTCCTTTTCCTTTTCCTCCCTCTTCCTTTTGTTATAATAACACTAAATATAAGATCCCATATATCCTCTTAAATTTCTTTTCTTTTCTCTTTTTGATGGTGCTGGGAATTGAAACCAGGATGGTATTTTTAATTATAGACCCAATGCTATAGCAGCTATTTCTAGCTTTAAGTCATCTATAATTTTAATGTTATTAATTTTTCATGTATTACTACTAATTTTTGTTTTTTCTACTAATGTCTTACCTAGGATCCAGCCAGTATTTTAGGATTATTAGCCCTTTAAACTCACTAATTCCCAACCCACATTAGTATCAATAAAGTAAAAATAAAAATAAAATAAAAATTTAAAATCCAACGAATTAATATAGTTCTTCCTCCAATTTCTCTTCTTCATCGAGTGATGGCCCCAGAGTCTCAAACTGTGATGTTTTATGTATATTTGCTACTTTATATATATATATATATATAATATATATATATTTCAATGTTCCATATTCCAAGGTCAACATATATAGGCAGTCTCCAAACTCTGAAAATGCCTATCATACCCTGCCATGGACTATTTTATGTACATTCTATTCTATTTTATGGATTGTTCTATCGCTGTTATAAATTTCTACTCCTTAATTGGATTTCTCTAGGAACTTCACAATGGCCTAGTGTCTAGAGACCAAATTATAAATTTCACCAAATTATACCACTTGATTATGGTAGCCTCAGTTCAGACACTTTGAATGGACTACCACTGAAGATGGACTATTAAACCTTTTAAAACCAAATATTCATTAAGAAGATTCCATAATCTTCCAACCACAGTAAGCTTTTTATCACCTCCTATTTCAATACACTCTGTGTTTTCTAATCTAATTCCATTACTTCTTTCTTAAACAGATCATGCTATTTTCCTCTATTGTTGTTCTTTAGTTATTTTTTTAACTAAAATTTTGTTTTTGTATAGGTGATACATTCTTAAAGGATACTTGAGATGGTATAGTAAAAAAATAGGCATCTTCAATCATATATAGCTCTCTTCAGTAGATGCACTGACAGTTAGGATACTCTATGATATACATGCATAAATAATGCAGACTTCTTTTAACTCATGTGGCAGTATACTTTTTACATAAACATTGCATTTTCATTTAATAAATAATAGAAATGATCTCAAATGTTACAGAATATCATCCAAGTGGCTACAGAATATCATGTGTAAGAGTGTATGTATACAATTTGTCTCTAAATAAATGTTCTGGTTCTCTCCTTCCTTTTGCTATTAGAAATGGTTACTATGGGGAATGATTTTATATATACATAAGTCTATATATGTGTGAAGGTATCTGCAAGAATTATTCCTGGAAATGAAACTGCTTAGTCTGTGGTACCTGATTTTCTTTTTTCATCCTTCTTTATCTCATCCTTCTTTTCCCAGACTCACTGTCAAAATGCTATACACTCAATCCTCATCCTCTTTGCTTATGAAAGTGTTTTAACCCCTTCCAAAACTCAGCTTTCTTGCCTTACAAACATTTTCTCTTTAAGACTGAATTAGTTATCTCTTTAAGGCTAACAAATGAGCTTATAACAATAATACTGATAGATACATATTAAAGCAAGATAATTTTTTCTATAAAGAAATAGAGATCAATTATACTACAAAACTTTAATTTTTTGTGTGTAGTTATTTTCCTAGTCCTTATGGCAAAGCTGAGATTCTAAGTATTGGCCTCTAAGTATTTTGAAATGAGTTCCATCATTGATGTAAAACACTCTGTTTACAGTATATTTACCTGAGCTTCTTAATTAATGACTCGTTGATTAAGAGACGCAACAAAAAAAACATGGTGCCCTGAGAAACCAAAGCTACAAACATTGCACCCAGCTTATTCATTTCAAATGTTTCACTTGGGTAGTTGACTCCATATGCTTTTAGGAAATCCAAGACTGCTTGTTGTTGGGAAAGTTCAATTAAACCATAGCCGAAACAGAATTGTGGAAATATCAGGAAAATTCTCTTGAGGGTTTCAGAAATAAGTTCTAAAGTCTGAAATGAGAGAAACACCAATGAAGCTTAGTCTTTGCATTCCAATGAATTGACAAAAATTTGAAACTAGATATGAATAAATATTGAGAAGCTTCTCACTTGCCAATTGTTTCACACGTGTGTGGGATTTACATACAAATAATTAATATAACTAAAGGGTGGAGTTTACAATAAAATGTTAGCGGAAAAGCAGATCTAAAGGTATCAGGGTCCAATCCTGGGGACAATATCACCTCTAGATGTGCCATATACTTTTAGGATGTGGATTAAGCTAGGGTGTTGAAATCAAATGCAATACTTGGAGGAGCCCGAATGAGGAAGAATTAATATAGTAAAGTTTTAGAACCTAAGATAATATCTACTTGGGGAGAGGCTAAGTGGCGAAATGAGGTGGAAGAAGAGACAACTCTTTTCCAAGAGGAGCAAATGGCTCATTTTCATGTCATGCACACTTAAGGCCAACTGCTTCCATGTCGTGAATTTTTTTCTCCTCCTGGAGTGTGCTTGTGTAGTGCTCAGTTCACTTCATTTCCTCTCTATTCTTTTCTGTTCAATTGCCTGGCACTGCCAGTGCTTCTCCACTCACCAATCATAATTGTCAGCGCTGAATGGGAAGTGATGCTTACAATGAAGTAGATTCCAATACATGATTGAAAATGAATGAAAAAGGGTTTCTTTTCTCTAGGAACATTCAGATAAATCCTAACCTACAGTCATATAACTCAGCCATTCTCCTTGTCACTACCATACGTGAAGAATTTGTTAATGAGTACAATTTTAGCTGACCAATTGGTGTCATGGTTTTCCTAGCAACATACAATATATCTGATTTAGCCTCCATCATTCCACCCAAGATTTATCAAATGCCAATAGTTTTGACACAGTAAAATAAGCATTAGACTAGATGGAATTTAATTTAATAAGACTAAATGATAGTTTTTCCTCTACATAAAATTCAGAATCAAGGGAAATCTTTCCACTTTGAACATGTTAAAACATCCAATACATTCACTGAAAATTGTAACAGAGTAAGAAAGGCTCTTACAGGATCATTTGGTTTTTCCTTGGAAAGAAAGTATACCACGGACAGGGAAACAATGGAATTGATGCCAAAAAACAGGTTGACACAAACGTAAGTGATAAAAGCCATTCCTGTCTCGTGGAAGAGACCAGCCAGCAAGTACATCCAAGAAAAAGTTGCATACCTGTTGGGTTAAAAATACTAATGATCAATCATACCTTCATTTACTCTTTAAGAAACATACAGTAAAAAACTTAGATGTGTTTCTAAAGTAAAAGGAAACATAATGGATGCGTTGTCAAGCCTTGTAGCTATATCTTGCTTCCATCCCCTTTCCTTTTATTTTGATAAAAATATTCCCAAAGGATGTATTTTAAATGACAATGAGAAGCTTCTCTTTTAAGAAGCCTCTAGCAGTCCCACATCATTACAGCTACAAATTAATCCCCCTGGGGATGGTGTTATCTTGTCTAGGCAAGACTTTCACTGCTCAGAAATAGGAGTTCAATCTGTGTAACTCTTTTATCATTTAAAGTGGAGGAAAGATGATGACATTGTTTTAGGTTAATGAGGCAGACAAGGCCTGGTTCGAAGATGGGTGCCCTGTTATGAGCAAAGACTTGAACACCTTTAGGGTAAGCTAAAGAAAACTAGTGAAGGAGAAGCTCTGTATCACCTACGGTTACTAAGAGATACAATCCAGGTGTTCAGGTAAGAAAGAATTGTTGCACGAAGCAACAATTATGTCAGCCTGTACTACCTGTATGATCTAGCCTAACACAGAAACAATAGAAATACATGTTTGTCCTTAGCTATCTATAAAAAGATAGATAAAAGTAAGTATACATAAACTTACATATACATTAAAATAGTATCTATTCATATAGTTTAAGAATTCATATATATTCATTTTCTCCATCATTTGAAGGCTTCCATTTTTATGCAAATTAGATTATATACGTAAATTTCTAAACTTGACTCTTGGCACTCAGTAAATTCCCATTATTGATAGCAACATTAATTTTCAGAGATATGCTTTAACAGACTATGGACTAGCAAGCATAATATATTGTTAGGCATCACTCATGTCAAATGAGACCCCACCCAGGCAATAATACATTAAGTAATGACATTTAGGCCTTGTTTGTGCCTAGAAGCAGTTAATTCTGCTCATTCTTCTTTCCTTATCTGTTCAGCAGCTTACCCAAACAGAAGAAGTAGGAGAGATACAGCGCCTAAGTTGCTTTCATTGTAGAAGGCAGGTAGCTTGAAAATTGCTATGACACCAATGGAAAATGCTACTGGAACCAAGTAGAAGACCTGTGAGAATATGTAAAAGAATGCTTAATGTTAATGCTTAGTGTTAATCAGTAACCCATGTAATTTGAACCTGCACCAAGTTGGCCTAGGAAAATTTGAAGGAATGATTTTTTTCTGATAGTCCTGTTTCTTGTTACTTTCAGCTTATTTGACATTGATTTCACTTTAGAATTTGTGTCCTCTAATATGAGATCAAGCCAGTTTCCACCTGTATTGATACACAAGAAGTCCTGTCATTCATGCCTGTAGGTTTTAAGACTTGGGTTCATTCAGGGATAGTGGTTCAATGAGAGACATGACAACCAGAGATCTAGGTATTAGTCCTGAAACCATTGATTTCATTTTGAATGCTGCATTTCTCTCAGATGGTTGATTTCCTAGGCTTAGTTATCAGTGTGAGCTACTTGTGCAAAACAACAGGGCAACAGTTACCACATATTCATGAAACACAGGAACAAAAATCCAAGTGTTCCACTGGCATTTGGAAATATTCAATGCTAAAGAGTATGTATCAGGATGCACATGATGGAGGTGGTGGTAATTGAATTTTTTGCTGGGGATTAGGGAAGGACAGGAATGTCCTAAGTTGGGATGAACATATGTCAGCAGAATATCAGTCATAAATAGACCTTTCTAGAAGGAAGTACTTGAAGCTTCCTTAATGTTAAAAAAGAAAAAGAAAAAACTCCTACTAAGTCCATTCTTTTAGATTTGGCTTCCACAACGAACACATTTCCGACCTCCCTGGATACATTAACAAAATGGATATGCAGTTAATTACTCTCCAGCTCTTCAAGCCAATGATCTTGACAACAACTTAGAAAATTTCACCATGATCACAGGCAAATGCATACACATCCTGGGCTTTTGGCCAACTCTGGCACATTTGGAGTCAAGAACAACCATCTGAACTTTGGGAACATTTTATGCAAATGAGAGAGCTATCAATGAAATACACTTCTTCTTTACCCTTGTAATCTTCTCTAATGTGTCATTCAGCTGGAGCTGCTACTTTGAATTTTTCACTATCGGTTGATTAAATTTTTATAAGCTTGATGACTTGGCACAATTGGGTAATGTTGCTAAGCTTCTATTTCTCCAGTATAGTGTTCTTAGACTTCAATGTGCTGAAAATCACCTAGGGAATCTTTCAGAGACATCTTGTCTATAATCCCCTCCCAAGATATGGACTTAATAGATCTGGAGTGGGGCCCAGGAACCTGAATATTAAGAAGTACCCCGGGAATCTGATACATCTCAGAAAGAAAGGCAGGCATATTTTCTTTCCTCCAACCATCAAATGACTATATGCCTGACTCGAATTGTTTTTCCCTACTTTGTTGTCCCTGCGAGAATAATTTGAACAACTAGAGAATGTTTGAATGTAACACCAACATCTTCTATGCAAAATGATCCTGTTTTTTTTGCAGTGATGTGTTACTTACCATGTCGTAAATGAAGTTTGTCACCCAGTAACATGTCACCCCGATGCCTGAAATATGCTGCAGCTGCTTGGCTTTGGTCTGATGTTCTCTTACAACATATGTGACAAAACTGGCCGTAGTGACAGAATAGCCCATCAATATGGACAGTGCCACCAAAACATCAATTAAACTGCTGATTCTAGGGTGAGAAATATCGAGAGGAAAGCAGACATGATTTTACGGAACTTTTTTTCCCTTTCAGGATGATTCATGACTCATGATTCAACAAAGTAGTATAAGAATTGACTACGACACAAATAAGCCTTCCTGTGAGACAGAAAGATAATATCTTTGACCCAGCTCTGCAGTGACCCTGGAATAACTGTATCTCTAGAGCAGGTGAATTGACTAGGAATATTTGATAGCAAAACCTCAGTCTCCCACAATTACAAAGTCTATGCAAGGGACATGCAGATCTGAAGCAAAGAAATAGCACTTAAGTGCAGCAGGAGAGTTGAAATGATGAAGCATTTAGTCTTTTGACTCATAAAAGCAGCAGACTCTGTGAATCTGCAGTGGATGGGCTCTCCTTGGCAGCCCCACTCTCCACCCTTTCAGAAACTTCCTTTTATCCCAGCCTGTGACTTCTAGAATCAGCCCTTCTAAAACTGACGTTCATTCAGATACACCTGTGATCTCCCATTATAGCACTTTACACAAAGGTTTAGCTTTGCCAAGAAGCAAGTAGTCATGCCAGAGAGATCTGCTTACGTGGCTTGTTCTTGATCTTGCACACCTGGATAAGGGTGGCTATACATGATGATACCTGGAGACAAAGATAAAGCTTCTGTTAGTAGGTGCTCAGTTCATCAGAAATACCAAGTTTGTGGTGAATAACATGGGTACTTCATTGTGATATAGCCTAAAGAATTTTATTTTGGGGTATACTTTTAAGGGAAATGACATTTTTTTCTGAATTCCATATAATGTGGCACTCTCATGAAGAGAGAAGAAATGGGACATTTTAGTTGGAAGCAAGAATCTGCTTTTATACAAAATGTATGTGTTCTTCCAATACAATGGAAGGTTGTGTGGAAGGTTTCCCTACATTCCTCTATCTACTCATATGCATGCTGGCAATTCAAAAGCTCTTCAGAAATATAATACATTGCCATGGGCAGTTTAAATGGACACCAATTATATGAGGGTCCCTTCCTGACTGTGCTATGACTGTAGGAGGAAATTTTGTCACTGACAAGATCCATTCTTCTCCTTTAGTACTTACATGATGCCTTTTGCTTCAGAGCTTTACCAGAATATGGGAGCTTCATTCACACATTTCCATGGAAACATTAAAGGGCAGGGAGGATTCAAAGACACAAGCCCAGAAAAATAGTCTCTAAATTCTAATACAGTGCCAAATGATGGAGATCTCCCAGGGTTGTGTATACAGCTTGAGTTAGAAGAAAGACCCTGGTAGCAGTCTATACAGTCTGAGAAGTTGTAGAAAGAGGGTAAGATTTGGGATTAGAGAAAGCCAGTAAGTACTTGTTCCTGTATAGTCAAAAAGGACAGTTTCACTGCTTATTGGGTATGGCCATAGCATTATGATACCCAGGCATAGCACCTGAACATTTTTTATTAAGAAGGATATGGCATATTTTGACCTTGAGTTTTGCAATAGTTGTATGTTAAGTAAAAGTTGATTAGTAAAACTAAACTTTAAATCACATCATTTGGGAATATACTTTATTTTTTATTTTGTGTGTGTGTGTGTATGTATAAATACTTGGGCCCTTTTAAAAATGAGTTTCCAGGGGCTCTACTTAAACCCTGCTCAATTATAATATAGGCAAGGGAAATCATGACTTTTATTTCTGCTTTGTATTTCCAACACAGAAAATGTGCTACTTCACTGGAGCAACTTTTGCAAACATGCTTTTATCACAATGTGCAAAATCCTGTGGGATGAGTTGTTTTCACACATACCGTTAGCTGAAAGATCAAGCCATATATCAGGAGGTTCTACAACATCCAGCAAGATGCCTTACATAGTGATCAGTCAATGAATATTTATTATGTCAAAAATCAAAATTTCATCACTGTTCTAGAATACAATGTACATATATATACACATATATACATAGTATGTACATTATACTGTATATAAATATATACAGTATAAATATATTGACACTGCATTGAATATATATTGGCACTATGCTGAATATATATAGTCTGTATTATATGATATTGTATAGCTGTATATATATGTGTGTGTATTTTATATATATATATATATATATATATATATATATATAGTTGTCTCTATAGGCGTAAAGCTAAAATGACATGATTCCATTGACCTTGCTTCTGTATAACAATGAGTAAGACTGAATATTGCAGTAGAAAGGATCATGTGTTAGTGTTTTTGTAAAGAGATTACTTGTATACTAATTTTTGGGGGGTAACAAGCAAATCAGTATTCTTCAAAAGAGCCATTTTTTTCATATAAAACACACCACTAGGGGGAACCCCATGAATAGAACAGATATTGATACTGAAAAAGAAAGCTAATCAAAAGATTTTTATAAGAATACTAGAATTCAAAGAAAATTTTATAGCTAAAATAAAATCCCAATTCATATAGAATCTAACAGAGATACTTAAAACAAGTGGGAGAGGAGAGGAGATATGAAAATAACTGGGTTGATTTTTCAAAGCCAAAGTAATAATACCATGGTAGATCCCATCCAAGCATGATGGAACAAAGATACATTTTAAGATTATAGATTTCTCCTTTGGAAGAAATCAAGTGCCTTCCAGAAAGGATGGAAAGCTATCATAATCATGTAAGACTGAATAAGAAAAGAATAATAAGGAATAGAAGTCACACTACTAGTAGTATTTATATCACTTGAGCTTATTTTTAAATTAAAAAATTCAATGTAGAGTCAATATAAAGTTTATCTTCTACAGTTCTTACTTCTTCATCCTCTGTAACTTAAAATACAATGGTAGAAGTTCTAACAAGCTTACTAGGGTCTAGACTGGCTCAATTTGCCTTCGCCTAAGTAATGAACACTAATTACAAAGGAAACCAGAATAAATACTTCAAAAAAGTGATTCTACAATGTGCTGTTGTGCTTCTCTTCTCTCTATCTTTGCTACATTTTTCTTTAGTCATTTCTATAGTTGTTATCATTTGATTATATGTAACAACAATCCATATCTTTTGCTCCGAATGAAACATCCTACTCAAAGTCAAGGTTTCGAAAGTATTTTAAAGCAGGTTATCCCAGACTCACCCGTAGGTCCCATTTTACTTAATTCATTACTTTTGACTAAGCCCTCTATTGATGCTAAAGACTATCAATCTCATTATTTTCTTTATAATTCCTCCTGCTGTAAAAATGCCAATGAAGTTGGGGGAAAATACTGTTTTATCCGAAATGAAAACTCTACGATTCTGTCACTGAGATGGGTTTTTGATGCTGTAGCTCACTTCCACAATACCATATCGAGCAGGCACTATTATGCCCAGCAGAAGGAAGATAAGAAAAGGAAATATCTGAATTTGTAAAAGATTGTGTCCTTTTTTCTATTTATTAGGCTCTGACTTGGTAAGAAAATGTGTTACTTAGTTTTTTTCCATCCTTATTATTACTAGTTTTTAGGATTGGTCTGGGAAATAATTTGAGCAAGGCTCAAGAAGATGAAATGGTCTGATGCACAGTAATTGAATTAGAAAAAAAATGAATCAATTTCTTTTAAATTCCAACCCTATTTTACAAACCGTGAAAGTCTCCCAAGAAACCCAGCTAAAGTTGACCTGGATGAGTCCAAAGAAACAGATTGGAGCCTTAGAAAAACAAACAGGCAGGACACAGAGAGCCTTGAATTCAAAAGGGGCAGTAATAATCACCCTGAAACTACTGTAAGACGAGAGCCATGCTTTATATTAAGCTTATATCATATACTGAATGTTCAATACGCAGTAGCCTGTCTGGTGGGTGTATAATTTATTTGTTTGAAAGTTTTTATGTTTAGATTTGTGAATATTTATATATTTTATATTTATATTTATATAAATTTTATATTTATATATTTTATATATTTTTATCACCTTTAACCTTTTTGCTATAAACTTAATAGATTTGTAGTTACTCTTTTTTTGGGGGGAAGGGTGCCAGTTCTAAGGCTTAAACTCAAGGCCTGACTCCTGTTCCTAATCCTCTTTGTGCTTTAGGCTACCACTTGAGCCATAGCACCACTCTAGCTTTTTCTAAGTGTTTGTTGGGAGGTAAGATTCTTGTGGACTTTCCTGCCCGGCTGCCTTTGAACCATGATCTTCAGATCTCAGCCTTATGAGTAGCTAGGATTTACAGGTATGGGCCACTGGTTCCGGCTTGTAGTTACTTTTCTATGAGACATTACAATTAGTTGTGAGTGCAGAAAGAGCATGGAGTCGGCATGATTATCCTGACTTGATAAATGTGGAAACTAAATTAACCTGAAGTTAAGCTGATTACTCAGTATGTTCCATCTGGCAGGAGTTACTACTTCCAAACTCGGCTTAAAGACCTGTGATTTAGATGTTATAAAATACTCAGCACTGGTATGTTTGTAGCGAAAGTAGTAGCAGTAAAAGAAGCCTCTATGTATATGGATTTACCATGTTGGGCAGCATCATCTTTGGACATGTTAACCCGTAACAGGAAATTGTTCAAGCTGTTGAGGTAAGCTGGAAGGGAGTGATAGCCTTCTGGATCATACCATACCTGTTAAAAGAAGGCAAAATCAAGATTGAATCCAACTCAATAAAGCTTTCAGCATCTAAAGCAAGAATAACAATTTCCTAATGACTTATTTCCTCTTGCAGCATCATAAAGTATCCTCCAAAGTGTTGATCACAGACCAATATGTTTCTAACTTAAACATGGCATGCCATTTTTTCTAAGTAATGAAACATATTAACTCTAGATACTTTGTATATGCAAAACATGGACTTTCACTGGAAAAATTATTATCTTCATCTCTGTGTAAAACATGGTCATTCTGAGATTAGAATTAAAGTATTCTGATCAATAATAGTAGTAAAAGAAAAAAAGAAAAAATGGTAAATAGACAAGGGTAGAAAAAGAAATAAAATACATATGTAAGTATTGTATCCTTAGCAACAAGACTGATAACCAATCCTACTAACTTTCTATTCCTCATTAAAATCCACAAGACATAAATTACTTTACCCTCTACATCAAAATCAGAAGGATTGTGCTAACTTTGATAGAAGGTATATCATATATAGGATATCTATATATATGCATCTATCCTATATATGTATATTCTATAGGAACATACAGGAACATACATGACTCCTGAACAGGATGACATGTAAGTTTGTAGAGCATTACATTTTGAATTATAGAATAATCTCTTTAATAAATTTAGCTGTAAAAGTTTTTAATGAAATACATACAAACAATACATAACACATTTAAAGAGAACAACACCATGATTAAGTTGGTTTCATTCCAGGAATACAAGGATGGTTCAACATACATAAATCAATAAACATAATATAGCACATGCTTTTTTTGGGGGGGGAGGCTGGGCACTGTCCCTCAGCTCTTCAAGCTCAAGGCTAGCGCTCTACCACTTGAACCACAGCGCCACTTCTGGCTTTTTTTTCTGCTTATGTGGTGCTGAGGAATCGAACCAGGGGCCTCATGCATGCAAGGCAAGCACTCTACCACTGAGCCACCTTCCCAGTCCCACATGCTTTTATTTAAAATAAAAACTTTGAAGGTATAGAGGGACTGTATTTCAACATAAAGGCAACATATGACAAACCCATAGCCAACTTTATGTTAAATGAGGAAAAACTGAAATAATTTCTGTTAAAGTCAAGAATGAGACAAGAGTATAGATACTTCTTATTCATATTCAACATAGTGCTGAAATCTCTAGTCACAGTAATAAGGAAAGAGAAAGCAATAAAATGGTTCTAAAAGGAGAAGAAATAAGACAAACTATTCCCAATTCCAGATGATCTGATTCTGGCAGATCTCCTGGAACTTTAGTATGCAAGGTTCCTGAACTGTACACACAGAATCACACCTACTGCATTATGGAGTATATATATCACCAAACGTTGCACACATGTTTTGTTTTTAACCTCATGATAAGATGCAAATGTATCTATTTCACATTTTGATTTGTATGACCTCCCAGAAAAGACTATAATTTACCTTGGCAAGTGTTCTGTTGATAGGAACTGCTGTTATATCAAAACGGAGGTCATTAGTCAAATGCATCCCAAAACTCCAACCTCCATATCTACAAAGAAAAAAATTTATATTCGTTTTACTAAATGAAATCTTCATAAGTTTATCTAAAATACTTTAGTAGGAGCTTAGTTCTTTCTTTCCAGTAGGAACATATTTACTGTATGAAATGAATACAAGCATTGATACCTTTTTTTAAATCATATTTTAGTCTCAAGTATACATCAGAATACAGGAAAAGGCTCCTCTAAACAACTAATATTTACAGTGATCATTCTGCAAACGCATTTTAACTGGACCACATCAACAATCTCAATATTTTATTGTTTAGATTTTTTGTCTGGATAATTATTATTGGAATGTTATAACATTAGATCTTACCTTTTCATAAATGTCCTAATTTCCTCCCTACCAAAGACTCTACACACCACTCCCGCCTCAGTTTGTTTCATGGTACTATATATGTTTACTTTCTTGGATATTTGAGAGTGAGTTAAGTTTATCTAAAGATGGTTAGTACACATACTCTTAAAAACTATTATTTTTAAAATCAGTAATATTTTTAAGGAAAGATTGAGATCCCTAAAAATTTATATTCCATTTAAATAAACAATGGTGTGGTATGATTCACAGTAGAATTATCTTGTGCCTGTCCTCCTGGATATAAGATTTTATTAGAGCAATAGGTTTTCACATATAAATGATATCATAGTAAATCGTTCACTGCTATTCAAAGGCAGACTTTCACAACTTTTTGCTTATAGTAGACCCCACTTTATTTATAAGTAATATTATTATAAAATATTCATATATATGAACATATTTTATCTCAAAATTTATATTCATAGAAAATATTATATGAATTAATAGTGCTTCTGTCCTGGTGGAACTTGTTTCCTTCTTTTTATCAGTAATTCAGAATCATTTTACAGTGAATGTTGACCATTTATGTCTAGTGAAAGAGGTAGGAAAGAAAATGTGGAGGAATGGAGAAATGAACAGGAGGAAAGGCAGGAAGGAAAACATGGAGGAACTGAGGAAAGAGATAGGCTCAAGAACTTCCCATCCACAGTAAATGTCCATATGATTTAGGTATTTGACCCTGCATACTTTCCTCTCGTGGATGTATTCTAAATTTGAGCTATTATTATTGAAATGAAGGCCAATTATCATCAAAACTCATGCAGTTCTCCAAAGAAGTCTAATTCAGTCAATTGCTCCTCTTTTGTTTCAAGAAAGTAAAGAAAATGAATATATTTATCAATACATTTTGGAGGGCTTACAAAAATCCAGTGCCTTTACATTGCTCCAATAAATCTTCATTTACAGTCATTACTCAGACTTCAATATATAAGGCTGTTTACATGAAACTAAGAATTTAAACATACAAATAATCATTAGAAATTTGCAACACTTCTCTCAAGTTTAGAAGTCATTTACCATGAGAATTAGAAAGCAATTAAATGTTGTAAAGAGTATTTTTACCTTCTTTGGACAAAGTCATTTGCAGTTGATATAAGGTAGTTTTCCATATGGTGCCCAGTGAGGTTGTAAATTACTTGAGATGAATAAATTCTTCTATGAGGTGGAGAATAGCTAAATTTAGGACAATCCTTGGAAAGAAGATAAAAAATTATTAACTTTTTACTGGTTGATTTTATGTAAATCAAACAGACAATGTCAAGTGTCATGATTTGTTTATTACATCCAATACTGGTGTGTAAATCTAAAGAATCTAGAATCTGAAGAACTTTGAATAAGTAGCCATCATGCCTACTGCCAAAAAATTAGAATAAGTACCTAATATTCATGTAGAACATATACTTGATGTTCAGGATTCACTGAAAGCCAAAAAGAATATATGCCAACAAATGTGTCATTGTTTCTTTCACTGTGCTGTCCTGTAAATATTTGTGGAGAATAACAATAAAAATTGAGATGACTCACAATCCCTTCAATAACTCACGGGAAAGGAAAAAAAAAGTTGCTCAAATTGAAAAGACATCATGATCACATATAACTTTCTAGAGATTGATGGCAGTAATCAAAAATTACATTCATGAAATAGCAGTTTTAGCTACTTACTCTAGAAGATTTGGGTTAATTATATTAGTTAACATATATTTTTTCATGTTAGTTTTAAATAAATGTCTGTATACAAACTACATGTATATATACAAACTCTTTAATTACTTCCGATTTATAGAAAAGTCCAAAAGATAGTACAGAGTTTCTGTGTAGTTCTATTCTACTTTCCTCCACTATGAACATTTTACATTTGTTTAGAGCTTATTTTAAAATACATTTTTATATTCCTATCTTTCTATGCTTCATGATAACTTCTCATCGTTGCTTGTCCAGCTTCACTATCATGATTATTTAGTTTGGGGAAAGTCTAGCATTTTCTGGTTTTATCTTTTATCACTTCACACTATGTCCAAGAGCCAGGGGCTAGTACCACATGTGTGTACCAAGAATATAAAGTTACAGGTTGCTCAAAAAAGTCAATGCTGGAATTTATCTTAGAATATATTGTATCAACTTGAACATCAAGAAAGGTGCTACTTTCTTATTTAATTGTACTCAGTACAGGACCTTTTTTTAACAGGACCTTTTTTGGGGGGGGGTCCTGTTGTGGGGCTTGAACTCTGGGCCTGGGCACTGTCCCTCAGCTCTTCAGCTCAAGGCTAGCGCTCTACCACTTGAGCCACAGCGCCACTTCCGGTTTTTTTTCATTTTGCTTATGTGGTGCTGAGGAATCGAACCCAGGGCCTCAGGCATGCAAGGCAAGCGCTCTACCACTGAGCCACCTTCCCAGCCCCTTAACAGGACCTTTTAATTAAATTATTTATAATGAGAAGCACATGTATTATAACAAGACTGCTTGATGAATTCTGACAATCAGAATGCTCTGTACCAGCAACCAGGTGAGAAGACAGAATAATGCTAACTCCTGGCATTTGTATCCCTCACCATAGGGACCCAAAGAATAGAGACAGATTCATTTCCCATTGTTACATTTTACATAAGTGGGAAATATTCATTTTATATATAGGTCCACATTTTGTCACTGATTATTGTTAAGAATCCTCCATATGATTTTATTTCTGTTGCTGGTCCTCAAGCTTGAATTTGGGACCTGGGTGCTCTCCTTGAGACTTTTTGCTCAAGGCTCGTACTCTACCACTTGAGCCACAGCTCCACTTCAGCTTTTTGGTGGTTCATTGGAGATAAGAGCTTCAAAGACTTTCCTGCCTGGGACAGGTTTGAATTATGATCCTAAGATCTCAGTCTCCCGAGTAGCTAGGATTACATGCATGAGCCCCCAGTGCTTGGCCTCCAAATGATTTTTATAGACTTAGTTGTATTCCATTGTGGAAAGAAACTACATTTGTCTTGCCTATTCTACTGCTGGTGGGTCGTCAGTGATTCTTACTTGGCTGCTATGGATATTTTAATATGGGTCTCTTGGTGAAGCTACTCACATTTCTAAATGGTATGTAATAGGAATGGGCTTGCAGGCCCCATGGGATATGCACATCTTCAGCCCTACAATATATAGCCAAACAGTTTTAAGAATTGTTTGTACCACAGCAAGTTCCTATGCACAGAATCTGAGTATCTGAGCTGCTGCACATCTATGCCCACACTTGGGGCTTTCTTCCTTCATATTAGCTATCTTAGTGAGTGTAGGGTGGTATTACATTGTGATCTTGTTTCTCAGTTCTCTGATGATGACATTTCCATACATTATTGGCCATTTGGATATAGCATTTGTGAAATTTTTCTTCATGTAGTTCGCTATTTTTCTACAGCGCCATCTATATTTTTCTTGCTAGTTTGCAGGAGTGATATGCATGCATACATATATTTGTATACATATCCAAACTAGAATAAAAGGATATGTATATATTCGATATATAATCCTTGATAATGTTTTGTGAATATCATCTTTCACTTTGTGGATTTTCTTGGGTCTTTTGATGTGCACACAGTGTAAGTTTTTCTCTTGAAAATGTTTAGGAATTTGCTTTAATTACAATAAATATCTATTGTGCATGGCCTCAGTTCTGCAAGTGACTCATAATTATTAAACATAAAGAGATAAATTGACATAATAAGTTGGAAAAAATTAAAATCTACCAGATTGTTTTCTGGTTAATGGAAATTTCCAGTATTCAATTTTAAATATTAACTCAGCTGACTTTATTAACTAAGGAAAAAATATGAAGAATCTCAGAAGTTAGTTAAATTACATGATGGATTAAAAATTCTAAATAAAAAGTAAAACTAACTTTTAAATATTCAAAAATTCCAAAGCATCCATGTTGGATCCTAGCTCCTATTAACTATCTTGCCTGAAAACCTCCAAATGGATTGCATTTACCGAAATTATTATTATTCTATGACACTGTAATAAGATAGTTAAAGGTACAACCATGTATCCCTTTTCAAGGAAATGTTGCTAAATACTTCCTAAATGGGATGCTTAGCCAACAATATAAACTATTAATGGCTTTTCCTTCAATGACCTTCAGATTTTTAAAATTTTGTAATTTGACCCTAATAATTATAAAATTTATGGTATAAGGTGTGTATGTATGTGCACATGGTATTCACATCGTGATCCAACTAGAAATTCTGAAGTTGCCAAGTGATTTTTGTTCTAAAAGTTTGGTGAATTGATAAGTTTAGAAAGCTAATATCTGTATCTATAAAATATAGAGAGAATAAGAGATTGTGGGATATTTTTTCCATTTCTTTCGGGAAATTATTTTTCATGCAGCCTGGAGGTACAGCTTAGAAATTTATGGAATTCCACTCTCGACCCAGACATGACTGCCCAGTTAGTTGACCACTAACATGGCAGTCCCACTGTTTTTTTCCAATATGACAGTTATGGTCACATTTTGTTCTGTGAAACAGAGATTTCTAGTTAGAACTGAACAGAGACCAAAAATTCATTTTCTGTTGGTTTCCACAAAGACCATCATAGAATTACCTACCCTTGGAGACTTGTCCTGAGTTGGATTTAAAAAACTGACCTGAAGTTCAAAGTCAATATTTTTGAGTTGCCAGGGTCCATATCTCTGAGCTACTAGCTTCCATAAACTGAAATTATACTGGCTCTTCAGTAACCTGTATAGATCTTTCAGGTTTTGATATTTATCCCTTTCTTTTCCCTACTTCACTGCAACTGAATTCTATTTTTACCTGGACATTTTCTGAGCAGGAGCAAACTCCAAAATTATTGATAGGCTCTCCAGTAGTGTTCCATCTTTCCAGGACATTTTTATGTAGGCACCGTCTGCAAATGTAAATGATACTGGAAATGAAAGACATGTATTTATGTGCATAGGCGTGCATATGCTCACATTTACATATGTGCATAATAGAAGTATTTGGTACTAAGTTCAGGGGTATAGTTCTAGGTATAATTCACTTAACTTTTCCTAACTTGAATATACATTGTAGTATATTTTCAAGTGATCTGACATTTGGTGGTGGGAGATTGAGGGAAAGCATTGATTGATCAAATAATGTTGAGAGTAAAGCTCCGTAAACTGTCTACTGTAGCAGGATGGGGCTTTGTGTTACATTTATTCTCTGCTCTTTTCATCCTCTCTGCTGACAGGAAGGGATATCTTTGGCATAATAATACACCAAGGTCAGGTTAACATATGTTATGTATTATGTGGAAAGTTTGAAGAAGTTTGGTATAGTGCAAAAACATGAAATGGAGTTAGAACACTTGGATCTAAGGTTTAGTTACACATCTTCTATCTAGATTTCTTTGTATGAGAATCTTAAGTCTCTGTGAGCCTTAGTTTCTTCATTTGTAAAATGGGACAAATAATCCACAAGGTTGTGATCATTAAAGGATGTCTATAAATACAAAATATCTCATGTTTTTGGTTACAATATAACATAGCTGGAGAATGAACTAAAGGAACTACTTAAAAGGAGTTAATCAGAGATTATTTTGTCAGGGTACTTCTCTCTTCCATTCAAATAATGTAATGTACACATATCTCATCTCTTCACTTATACATCCATATAAACTAGGATGTTGGAAATGAGAAAAAGAAATAAACACTTACGAGTCACTGTTGTTCAAACATATATTGTCAATCCCAGGGAAGTTCCATAGTGTCGAGACCAGTGGTTTTGTGCTTGGGTCAAAATTCCTGCAATATTAAAAAATTGAATAAAATCCATAGTCCTGCTAATCTTGCACATTAGGTGTATATTCCCAAATAACACGAAGACATGAAATTTTGTGGTCTATAGGACTGTTATATGAGTATGTATTTATATATATGTGTGTGTATATACACATATGGTAGATGTATTTTTTTTGTAGATTTGGTGATTGAACTCAGAGCCTTGCACATGCTAAGTAAGAGTTTTACAATTGAACTACAGTCCCAACCAATGGGAATGTTTTATGAAAGAATCTAAGAAAGACTATCTTTGGGAGCAAAAAAAGGTATCATTAGAAACAATATGCACAATTGGGAGCAAAAAAGGTATCATTAGAAACAATATGCACAATTGGGAGCAAAAAAGGTATCATTAGGAAAAATATGCACATGTCTCTATTTGTCACATGCATTTAGCCATCAGCTAGTATGTATGTCACATTACATTATACAGAACATCTATTCAATACGGCTATCTTTGTCAGTCCAATAAAATGTCATTTGCTGAATATTAACAGACTGGGAAGCCTCACATAACCTGGCTTTTCTGATTCAAGTCTACTCATTGAAATAAATAACCATTTTAAAATGTTAATTGTTGGTGCTGAACTGGTATCTCAATAAATCAGATTGTCCATTCCTTTCACTGAATCAGTACTAAGGCACCAACGTTCTTTGTGCATCAGTGCTTCTTGGGACTCAAACTAGTATAAATGCATGTCTGGAAGCATTTTAAGAATACTTTCTTAGTGGGGTGAGAATGTGGCTTAGTGGAAGAGTGCTTTCCTAGCATGCATGAATCCCTGGGTTCGCTTGCTTAGTACCACATAAACAGAAAAAGCCAGAAGTGGCACTGTGGCTCAAGTGGTATAACACTAGCCTTGAGCACAGTGGGGCTTGGGGACAGAGCCCAGGGCATGAGTTCAAGCCCCAGGATTGCTGAAAAAAGAAAGGAATACTTTCTTAGTTAATGGAGACCAACTCACGCATAAAATGCTGTCTGTTCTGAGGTGCCATAAAGAGAAGGGGAGATCTGGATCTCTGGGTAACTGTTGCTCGAATCTCTCAGCGTGCCAAGGCCCATGGCAGTGGTTACGAAGACAATGGGGAGGACCACCTGAGCAATGAGGCCTTTCCAGTTCCTGCGAGTGTGGTGGAACCTCTTGATGAGAATAGCCATTATCTTCTTCAGCAGCAGTCCAAAGCCATCCAGCCTCTCACTGCTGGTCAGGACTTTGTCTAGTGAAACAAGAGAGATGCAATATGATGATCTGGAAAACTTTGATAAAACAAGTACTAAAGAAATTTCAGAAACTATAGGTGGATGGTATATTATAGCATTGTGAAAAAAGGTTATATTTTTAATATTGGTACTGGAGGTTTAACAATATATTTGTCAGCTCTGGACATGAGTCTCAAGTTGAGGACTACCTCATCTAGACCTGTATATAAAAGTGTCTTGAAAAGCCAGGAACCACTGGCTCACACCTGTAATCTTACTACTGTAATCCAGCTACTCAGGGGACTGAGATCTGAAGATTGCACTTCAAAGCCAGCCTGGACAGGAAAGTCCATGAGGTTTTTATCTTTAATCAACTACCAAAAAGCTGAAAGGGAAGTTGTTGCTAAGTAGTTGGGTGCTACCCTTGAGCGAAAAGCTAAAGGACAATGCCTAGATCCTGAGTTCAAGCATGTGCTTAGTACTGGCACACACACACACACACACACACACACACACACACACACAAAGTGCCTTATGAATTATAATTTACTGGACAGAAAATATTATGCATATGCACAGTCTTTTTACATGCGAAATTCAGACATCTAGAATTTTATAAATGAATCCCCAAATCCTAAAGTTTTTTTTATTTTCCAGTCCTGGGGCTGTCCCTGAGCTCCTTTTTGCTCAAGGCTAGCACTCTACCACTTGAGCCTCAGCACCCCTTCCAGACTTTTCTGTGATTAATTGGACATAAAATTCTCACAGAATGGGATGGCTTCAAACCACAGTCCTCAGATATCAGTCTCCTGAGTTGCTAGGATTAAAGGCATGAGCTATGGGTCCCTCCTAAAGTCTTTTTTTTGGGGGGGTGGTTGTAGGGCTTGAACTCTGGGCCTCAGCTCTTCAGCTCAAGGCTAGTGCTCTACCACTTGAGCCACAGCGCCACTTCCAGCTTTTTTCTTTTTGCTTATGTGGTGCTGAGGAATTGAACCCAAGGCCCCATGCATGCAAGGCAAGTGCTCTACCACTGAGCCACCTTCCCAGCCCCACTCCTAAAGTCTTAACTGAAGACCCAGCATGTATTACTAATAATGAATACTGATTAAATAGTTCCTTTCATGACACTGAATTTAGATAGACTCTAAGATAGAATCAGTCCAGGAACTCATTCCTATTGTAAGTGACTTAGCAGTTGTTAAGTCTAATTGTTTCTATGTCTAACATGAAATCTAATGATTTCACTGTAAAGTGGGGAAAGGGAATTCTCTCCTCCAAGGTATACTTCTAGACAACCACTTATTCATTATTTTCTCATTGGAAACTTGGAATGATTAGAACTACATTTGACCATTAGAATCCCAAAAAGAATTCATTGGAAAAAATGATCTGCCCTTCCCTTATTCTTTGGAAATGCTCTTCGGGTGCTAAGAAAATCTCGTGGCCTTGAGAGAGCAGCTTTGGAGGCTAGAAACTTGGCTCCCTCTCTACGGCTCTAATAATTCCTGCAATTCTCTATTTCACAAAAGCTACAAATTTAGCATTCTTTCCAAAGACCTGACACCAAGTATGCCTTCACACGTGATAAGATGACAGTTTTCCTCAACTGTGTATATTTTAAATTTTCCATCACAAATTCTGCAGCATAAAAATCATGATCTTCATTTAGCTGATAAGAGAAAAAAATACAAAGCTGCTTAATTTAAAATGAATTCCAATTAAACAGAGTGAACAAGTTGAAATGCAAACTCATATCTCTGCAAAAGGGAATTGTACAAGGAGCTGAATATTTTGAGTTAATTAGCATGCTTTTCTTTTTCTCAAGAAATTACATGTGGATGACTTACAGGTGTAGCAAATGGAGTAAATGTGCTTTCTCAAAGATAATGTCAATGAGGGGAACGTTTTGACTGAAGACTTTCAAATTATGAAAATACACAGCATTAACTTCCTGTAGCAGATGACCACTTTCTAATCAAAGTCTTTAATTCCGTGGACTCTACAATTACATTCCACAAAAGATGATAAATGAGGAATGCAGCAGAGGACAAATGAGCCCCAAATTCCAGAATGATGCAAACGTCAGAGATGATCTTTTCTGAAGTTTAGAGACAGGCAAATGTTTAATTAAAAGTTCTCTTCCTTGAGATTTTCCCCAATTTACGCAAACTGTTGAAATGCCTACTCCATAATTTATATATCATTATACTCCAGGCTTCTTTGAGTAAATAGCGTTTCCAGAGGTATGAATTAACTGTCAGGACACTAAGCTACAATCAAAGCTACTTTAAAAGGAGCTTAGTCCTTCAAAGTCCTGTCATGACACAGTTTTGCAAACATATCCTGGGTGAAGAACTGAGGAGAAAACCTGTTATTACAGGTTCCTAAATATCAAGCCTAACTTAATCAATTCAAAGACCTTCCCCCACAAGGTATTTTCTCAGCCTCTCTGTTACTCAGAGTGTGGTAGGAAGGGGAAATAGATGTGTCTTTCAAGGTGTGCTTTGTACAGGGTGAGTCTTTTACTTTCTGAAAGGGTTGATGACTATTGTCTTCTTTGTGCCTGACCAGTAACAGGAGAGAACTACTTTTTACAACAACCTTTCCCATGCCTGGGATAGTACCAATTACGAGAAGCACAAAGCTGAAATGATAGTAAGTAGCCTCTCGAAATCACTTCTGGTGAGTAGACAGAATGCTTATCATTATCCATCAGTGACCTTCCTTCACTTTCTTCACTAAACTGTTCAAACTAAAAATTTGATTTGTTTTCATGAATATTTTATATGTTGAAAAAGAAACCCATTTTATTTCTTCAGGATTTTTTAAAGTTTAAAGTTGAATTAAAAAAAAGTTTAAATCTGGGGCTAAGGAGGGATATAGCTCAGTGGTAGAGCTCTTGCTAAGGAGGTACAAGGCCCTGGATCCAATCCCTAGCACCACATGGGAAAAGAACATGAGACAATTTAAAAATTTAAATCTATCCTTTGACATTTCCATTCGTGTCATTTATGACAATTCGGTAAAGTATCTGCGTTAGAGTTTTACCATCTCTGTCTGTGAAGTTGCTGCTGGTCACAGACAGATCGTCCGGAGTTGAGGTGCCATTGAGAGTGGCATTCCCAATTTTCCTCTGTGTCAAGTGTTCCAGACTCATGTTCCTGCTTGTCTGTGACTCCTTAGTCAAGTTCAGAAATACCTAAGGAAAAGAAGGCATACCACTTCATTAACATAAAATAATATCCAGGTCCAATTTCTGAGCTTAATTTTGGTTTTGAATTTTTATCACATTTATTGAGACAAACATTTCTCATCTGACTCTAATAGACTAGGTCACCAGGTGCCAATGGCTCACACCTATAATCCTAGTTACTCAAGAGGCTGAGAGCTGAGAATCAGAATTCAGAGTCAGTCTGAAATGCACAAGAAAAAAATGCACAAGACTCTTATCTCCAGTTAAACAGAAGGAGAGTGTGAACTGAAAGACTGGCTCCAGTAGTGGAGCATCAGCTGTGAGCTGAGAAAGAGCACGACCCCGAGTCCAGGCTCCTAAACAAGAACAGCAACAAAACAAAGAGACAGAGAAACTGTGTAAAAGCTGTATGTTCTCATCTTTTAAATAGAAAAAATAACACTGAAGAAACAATTTAGTCTCAGGAGTCAGTCTTCTAGAGAACAGTACATAAATGAATTTAAGTTTTTCTGATTTTTTTAAGTATTTGTTTTAGACTATTTTTTAAGTTCACATATTTATGCAAGTTATAACCACTCTAGGAAGTTAAGAAAATGTGACTGGAAATGAGGTCCAGAGCTTCCCTAGCATGCACAAGGCCCTGCCATCTGATCACTGATCCTACAGAAAAAAGAAAGGAGGAGGAGGAGGAGGAGGAGGAGGAGGAGGAGGAGGAGAAAGGAGAGAAATCAAGCAAGCAAGCAAGAAAAAGGATAGAAAGAAAAAAAGAAAGAAAGAAAAGAAAAGAAAGAAAGAGTAAAAGGAAAGAGGTTAGGAAGGAAGAAAGGGAATTAGGGAGGGAAGCAGGTTTTCAGGTTGAGATGTACCTCTTCAACAGTGGTGTCTGAAATGCCATAGCAGCCAATGTTGAGGTCACCCATGCCCTGGTCCAGGGCTCTTAAGAGAGACAGGTAGGCTCCTGAGACTTTGGTACTAAATGGAGGAAGCACATATACAAGCTCTCCCCCAATATCTTCCTTGAGGTAGGCATCAGGGAGGTGTGAACGGATCATCGTTGTCACAGCCATTGTGTCACAGACTCTGTTTGCATCTAAATTTGGGCTCTATGGAAAAAATGGAAGTTAATTACTCTCCTTCACACGTGGTACTGCCAAGGGTACTAATGGAGGGGAGGGAGGGGGTGATGAGTTCTAGACCTAAGTCAAATCACACATCACTCTTGCTGGCCTCTCTTTGTGGTCTTTGGGGGCCCTGAGGTTGTTCACAAGTTATTATGCTACTAGCCTCATTCTCTTACCTCACTGACCCTTCTCTAACTTTGTTGCCCACCCTCCTCTCTCTTTCTTATTCTACTTCAGCAACAATTATCTTTCTGTTGCTAGAGGGCTCTAGGTTCAGGCCCATGCCTTTCTGAAGGGCCTTTGCCCCTAGAGAGTATCATGCCAAAAGTATAAAAAAATAAATAAAAATAAAAGCCTTATTTTTAAGATAATTTTAAAAAATTAGTTAAAAATAGTGCAACAACACTAGCAATTGTTGGCAATAAAGTTGCAAAGTCTGTCCCCATTAGAAGAATTGATAACTTGTGACTGCATCAAGAGGAGTATTTTCTCTTCTACGCACCTTCTTCTTGGTGAGTGTCAGGTGGTACCCATCCCCAAATGCCTCCTTGAGGTAGAATGGTGACCCGCAGCACCGCAGTCCGCCCTGTTCCAAGAAGGCAATGCGATCGCTTAGCACTTCAGCCTCATCCAAGTGGTGTGTCGACAGAATGATTGTTCTGGCTTGAAGACACAGTAGAGAACAAGCGAGAGTGAAAAATGAAGACACAGCTCCCATGATACACAGAGTTAGCAAGAGTAAATCCTGTGACTTACGAAGACAAGAGTCACGTTTTATGAGCTAACTGGAAAAACAAAATCCAAACAGGCCAGAAGAAAAACCTCCAAAATGATCAAAGGGAATTTCAAAAGGGTTTTCTTCAATATTGGGGACTATTTTTCATACAAGTTGGCAGCAAATAATCATTTAGTATCCTGTATAGCGAAACGTCCATCATGTGTTCTGTGTGCCTTGGCAGCTGTTTCCAATCTGTCAAAGTTTTACTCCTGTGGCTTCAATTTTACCTTCAGTTCTCTCTCTCTCTCTCTCTCTCTCTCTCTCTCTCTCTCTCTCTCTCTCTTTTATTTCCTTTGCTATGAAAAAGCAATAATTTTAACGGCTCTTTGAATTTCCTCTCTGATTAATCCACTCCACTCTGATTACTCCTTTGCTTCACATCCTGTTAGCACTTATTTAGTCTGTTTTCAGTTTATTTTCATTTGTGTATGTTTGGTATCTCTAATTAGATTCTCAGCTTCTCTCGGCAGATGTTGGAACTTCTGTTGGCTCTGCATGAACTCATGGTCTTAAGCTTTCACTTGGCTTTTGTGCTCAAGGCTGATGCTCTACTACCTGAGCCATCCTACTTTCTACTTCTGACATTTTGCTGGTTAACTGAAGAGTCTTATAGACTTTCCTGCCTGGGCTGGCTTGGAACTGCAATCCTCAGATCTCAGCCTCCTGAGTAGCTAGGATTATAGATGTGAGCTACCAGCATCAAGCCTTCAGCTTGCTTTTGTGTATATCAGATGGCAGAATTCTGATTGTTAAGTGAAAAAAGTTATGACAAAGTACTCATACCAGCTTTGTTCTTGGATATGACATCCCATATACTTCGACGAGAGCATGGGTCAACTCCAGTGGATGGTTCATCCAAAATGACCACCCTTGATCCACCAATGAGTGCTATGGATATCGATAACTTCCTCTTCATCCCTCCTGACAGTGTTCCAACTCTCTTATGACGATGGCTATAGAGCCCAGTATCTTTCAAAGTCCTTCAAAAATAATTTTTGGTGGTTAATTTAACAGACCATTTGAGTTCTGGGAGAACACAATAAATACACTAAGTGATTATCATTATTATGTGTTCTATAAGATGCAATGCAATACTGAAAATTCAAAAGTTTATTTTTATCCTTGATTTAATTGATTTAATACTAAGAAGAAACAAACCTAGGAAAGGTTTTAGAGTATATGACTATTTTGTTTTGTATCATATCTTATGTAGGGAGAAAAGTAGTGAACAATAAAAATTTCCACCATAAGGACATTATACTAATATAATGTGCGGGGAGGGATGTGAAGGATATCCAGGAGATAAACATAGTCTCAAGCAAGTTTTTAATATGTGAGATGGTGATAAAAAACAAAAATAAATAAGCAAAACTGGGTATCTGAGCTAAAGAGTATCAATATCTTTTCTATATTTGATATTCAAGTAAGATTTGAGCAGAGGTCAGGAAAGTGGTCATTTGACCAAGAGGATGTCAAAAGACTTGAGGCTGGAGAAGCTCTTATGTAGTCAAGTGCACAACTAGGTCCATGTGTGTAGAGCATAGTGAATAGAAGAACACGGAATGAAACAAAACTGAGATCCAGGATAGGTCATTAGGGTCTTGTTGGGTCTTGTCAGCCTTGATAGAGCAACTCAGTGTTTATACTGAGTGTGGCAGGAAGCAACGTGAGTATCTCGAAATGGTCTGATTTGCAATAGAAAAAGATCTATCTAGCTTCTCTTTAAGGAATAGATTGTAAGAAAGAGTATAGGAGCCAGGCATTCAGTTAGTAGGCATAGACTAGGGTAGTAGCCTAGAGATAGGGAAAACAGGATTTAGCCACCCTGAGAAAGAGAAATAAAGAATTTCAAGAAAATTAACCAGTGAGAATAATGGATTAACATGTACAGACTATCAGAGAAGTAGGAAAATTAACAAACAGTTAGGGTATGCAAAAACATTTCCTATTGGTATCATTGCCAGAGTTTGACTAGGGTCTTTGAGAAAGGATCCCAACCCACATCCTGATTCCTGGCATGACTCACCTCTTCACTTCTTCATGGAGCTGCTTTTTGGTCCACTGAGGAACTTTTATGGAGCCGTATAAGAGAAGGTGCTCCTTCGTAGTGAGGTAACTGAACAACACATCATGCTGCATGCAGACACCCATGTTCTTCCGAACAGTGTTCAGGTCTGTCTTGGTGTCTTTTCCATACACAAAAATGGTACCTGCTGAGGTACCAAACAGCCCAGTCAGCATGGATCTGGGAATGAAGAAATATCAAGTTAGAATGAGGCCAAGCATTTACGTGATATATTAAGATTTACAATCTCACGTGTTAACCAAAAAAAAAAAAAGTTCTAGTATATCTCTTCCATCAAGGTCAAGGCATGAAATAAAAGGAGATTAAATGAGAGTAAAACAATAAAATAATGTTTAAGCTTTTAATAATTTAAAGTGTTATATAAACATGAATGATGGTGAATTTGGTGGTGATATATAATCATAGTGCCTGTCTGGAAAGGGTGTACTAGTTGGGAGAGAGAAGGGTGAACTTTCTTGCTATTGTTTCTAACATATTTATAACGTAGCATGTGATTTTCTTTGTTTCTTTGTATATTCCTTCCCCCACAGTAGATCCCCTGTTTTCACAGTATTTGATGTTGGTGCCCTGCATCTTGTACAGACACTTCTCTAATTCAGGGAGAGAAGGGAAAAAACAAAATACTTAAATAAGAATACAGGTTGACCCATTGTAACAATGAGATGTACAAAACACTACACTGAAAACGAACTTTACAACTTCAGTGGGAGGTGGGGGGTAGTTTTGGAGGTGGGAGGGAAGGGATGGTAGGGGAAAACAAAGGAGGAGGCAGCAATGCTGGATAGGAAATGTACTCATTACCTTGCTCATGTAACTGTAATCCTGCTGTACAGCATTTTTACAATAAAAACATACAAAAAAGAGTATGATTACAGTAAAAAAATACTTCACATGCAAATAGAACAATGAAGCTTGTGATTGGTTTGGGAAGGAAGAAGGGAAGAGAAGGGTGAATGATAGAGGGTGAATCCCATCAAGGTACACTGTTTGCAGATATGGATGTGTCAAAATGTAATCCCCTTGTAAAATTAATTAATACTGACAAAAAATGTAAAACAAAAAACAAATACCCAAAACTCCCTCCAGTTATGCTTTTTCATTGTAACTATACTCTCTCCTGAAATAATTCATGAACTTCCTTGACATTCTAGAGTACAAACTAACAAGTCTCAAATTTATATTTCTAGCCTAGACCTTATCCCTTATTCCAAGGCTTATTCTATCCATCCAACAGAGAGTGTCACTTTTCTGTAATATACCTTAATAGGGCCTCTTACCCAAGATGATGCTTGCTTGCAAGCCCCCACCTAGGTTGATTTTTACCTTTCTTTCTGTGATAGATTCATAAATAAGTTGCATAAGCTGAGCACCCCAAGGTCATATTTGTGCTTTCTTCCTCTCTTGGTCAATTTACATACATGTATTTCTGGGTTTTTTTTTACAGCTTCTACCATGGGGGCCAGCCAGCATCCCTATTAGTCCAGGGATGTAAGCACCTAACTCATCTTCCTATATACACCCCTATCCTATTGTCTACATTTGACTAGAGTATTTCTACCCAGATAATTCCCTATCCTCTTTCCAACATCTGGAAAACAGGGTGATTACTCAAAACTCGTCTACTCCCTCCATTATAATACAAGCACCAGGAGTTGTAGGGAAAGGACTTATTTTCTCATTACTTTCTCAGTACCTTACCTGTGCCTGGCAATGAATCCCTGGAGACCAAATAGGAAACAGTATCATATACAATTTTGTCATAAAATGCTTTGACATACAAATAACATATTCTATTCTTTATCTTCAAATGTTTACAGCCAAAAGAATAAAATAGGTCTGTCTTAGCTAAAATGATAGCCTCTTTAAAAGTCTTCTCTGTTCCTTTTCTTCCCATATCTCTTAGTTCCTTTTAGGAACCTTGGTTTTGAAGCAGTGTAGTCTCACTAGAAAGGCAACTCTGGCATTACACAGGTTGTGGGTATGGGAGAGTCTGGATGGGCACTTTTATCATAACCTTCTTTGTCCTTTTTTATTTACAAAAAGTATTCATTTCAGTGTTTTGGCAGTCACAGCTCTTGCTCACAATGATTCAAAATTGGATGTGTAGCCAGTGACTCTTAAAGGCTACAGTGCAGACCGCAGCTTAGCACTGACTCAGCAACTAAGCAAATGAGGACCATTGGAGGAAAATCACATAAAAAAGTTGCAAAAAGAACCATGTTGCTTTAACAGCATTGGAATATTTTCTCCATTCTGACACAGGAAAGCGTGACATAAATGGAGGGAGCCTCTGTCCTGCTCTTGGCCCTTTTGATCCTTACGTGATAGTTGGTGAATCTTTTCATTTCCTTCTGAGTCAAAGCAAGTGTTTCCCATAGTAAGCAGGCAAGGTTGTGTGCATTCATACCCGCCAGGGTGTGCAAACTCAAAGTTATACATGGGCCTGGGTATGTATGTAAAATAAATGAGACAGAGTGATGGCTGCCGCAGTAGGGGTTGCTGGACACCAGGGATGTACCAGAAAGCAGATGTTCTCATTAAGAGAACAGCCACTAATGAGCCTCAACCAGTAGTCACTGCCTAAAAATGTGGACTCAGTGTTGCAGAACTTCATGCTTTCTAGGATATGCCTCAGAAAGCATTTATTTTCACTGGGAAATTCCTCATGTTTATTTATTGGCTCTGAATGAATATGTTTAAGATGTCTTGGGTAGGCCAACGCTAGATGGACTAAGTATATCTTCCTCCTGGTAGACCTGATCTGTTTTGTTATTGTTGTTGTTGCTGTTGTTGTTGTTGCTGTTTGGTGGGGTGGGGGGGGGTTCATAGTTTGGTACCTTAGAATCCCTTGTTTAGTATAAAAATTGAACTAGCTGACATCATGTAACGAGTACAATCCTTTTGTATGAAAAGTTAGTTTATAAAATGAACTGTATTGGGCTGGGAATGTGGCTTCGTGGTAGAGTGCTTGCCTAGCATGCATGAAGCCCTGGGTTCTATTCCTCAATACCACATACACAGAAAAAGCTGGAAGTGGTGATGTGGCTCAAGTGGTAGAGTGCTAGCCTTAAGCAAAAGAACCTCAGGGACAGTGTTCAGGTCCTGAGTACAAGCCCCAGGACTGGCAATAAATAAATAAGTAAATAATAAAAGAACTATATTAAAAATACACTTCTGGATATGAAGCATTGAAAAGAAACATTACATGGTAGTAGTTTTCCCAGCTCCATTGGGTCCCAGCAGTGAGGTAATATGCCCTTCATAAAAGTTCAGATTGAGATTATCCACAGCAACTTTTGAGCCATAGACCTTTGTGACCCCATGCAGGGCAACTCCAATTGGAAGATCCTTAGGTTCAGGTTCAATGTTGGAGGGAAACACAGATTCAGGACCTGGAGAATAATCAAAGGAAAAATGTCAAGCTCACAGTAAGGGAATGTAGCAAGAATTAGAGTCTAATTCAAAATTGAAGGCTATAGACATACAACCTTTTAAATAGGTTTTTTTAAATCCAGATACAATGGTTATGGTGTTTTACCTCTTTCTTCATAGTTACAGAATGAATGAATGTGTAAAACCACATTCTTCACCAGTCCTCTCTGTTAGAGAAAGAAGCTCCAGAATATAATGTCAGAATTAGAAGTTTTTGTTTTTTTGTTTTGTTTTGTTTTGTTTTTGTTGGTCATGGTGCTTGAACTCTGGGCCTGGGCACTGTCCCTCAGCTCTTCAGCTCTTGAGACACAGTGCCATTTCCAGTTTTCTGGTAGTTAACTGGAGATAAGAGTCTTACGGATGTTCCTGCCTGGGCTGGCTTTGAACCTCGATTCTCAGATCTCTACCTTCTGAGTAGCTAGAATTACAGACATGAACCACAGGTGCTGGGCAGAAGTTTGTTTGTTTGTTTTTTATGTGAAAGATCTTAACTATTCAAAAGATAAACCTAAAAGGCTTTGTCCTCTGATTGGGCAGGATTTTACTAGATTATGGATTTTTGTTGTTGTTGTTGATGATGATGATGTTTTGCCAGTTGTGGGGCCTGAGCTCTGTGCCTGGGCACTGTCCCTGAGCTCTTCAGCTTGAGCCATAACACCACTTCCAGCTTTTTTTGCTTATATGGTGCTGAGGAATCAAACCCAGGGCCTCATGCATGCAAAGCAAGCACTCTGGAGCCACCTTCCCAGCCCTAGATTATGGATTTTATAGTGGCAGGGCTAGTAGCTTAGATCTGTGGTTTATAGAAGCAAATTCATTAATCACTATCTACACTTCTTTTTGGCATCACAAAGGGACCACTTATACGGGCCATGGGCCATACTTACTTGATAAAGATGACACTGCTCACTTGATAAAGATGACAAAGCTCATGAGCTTTGAATGATTTCCGTAGCATTGGTAGTAGGTTATGCTAAATTACCCATACCTGTTATTCGGATACCTCTTATGACTGGTGGCAGATGTTTGGAATTAGGGGTGCAGACTGTGGCCAAGGAGCAAAATTTTTCTCTGTGTGAGGCTAACTGGACCACAAAAGGATCTATGATCTTGGCCTAATTAACACCATATGCTAACCCACTGAGCTAATGAGCCCAGAAAAAAAGAGCCACAATTCAATACCCATAAGAACCTAAACACATATGTGTAGACATACTCACCCGTGACTAAGAGGATGATAATTTTGCCATTTAGAAAAGCATAATTAAAAAAGAAAAGCATAATTAAAACTACTAGTCACCCAGTTTTACACCATTTCTCTTACAGTAATGCATGTGGTGGACCTACTTGTCTTACTGGAAGATGGGTTGGTGTTCTGCATCATGATGTTAGTAAACATGAGGCCATTGCTTTTCTCATGCTTCACCTCTGCGCACCCAAACCGCTCTTTCCAATAGGAAGGAAGGACTGGAAAATACCATGGAGCTGCCATACCATACGTCCCTGTAGTAAGGCCGATTAAGAATGATGATGATTGACTTTTCATTTGAAGCACTAGAAACTAAACAATAGGATACTACATATGGTTATGGAAATCATTCTCCTGAGAATTGGGAGACTTGAGTTTTGCTTTATAACATCTACTCCCTAGTTGAAAAGATGGATTGACCTGACACTATTCAAGGCTTCTTAATTTACTCCATCTTTTAAAGGATTATCAGAGAAAAAAAGTGACAATTTATTCATCTGAAATTTTTGATTCATTTTAGGATTTTAGTATTTCTCTTTTTTTTGAGAGTATAGATGGTCTATCAATTATTAGAACATATATGTTCTGATATTAAAACCAGTTTGGTTAACAGAGATGACAACCATAAAACAAAAATAATATCTACCTGTAGAAAACATGTTCATACCTGGGAAAACATTCCTGACATACCAAGCAATAAGGAAATAAATGAAAGAATCAGCTAGGATGAAACAGCACAGCCAACCAAATGAGGTGGTATCACCCCGGACCGGGGAGCTATACATGTTTTCCCACTGAAGACCTAAAGATTAGACACAGATAGTTATTTTTCCCTGACACATTTATAAATGATAAAACTGAGTTTTAAAGAAAGTGAGCCTACCAACGCCTTGTTCTTCATATCGTGCAATGTATTGGCTTGCGTAGCTGAACGCTGTTGGGGACAGCAGGCTCTGGGGAGAAAAAAATGAACAGCAGTGATACTTCTATCAGATTTCACACCTTACACCCAGAGTGATCTTAAAATACTTTCAATTCTGGACATATAGATTAAATTGAGGCTCACTTTCTAAGTGTATTAAAAAAAAAACAAAAAACAACTGAGCTCCCTTTCCAAGCATGACACAATTCAGAGAAAAAAAAAATACAACACAGTAAAAAAAAAAAAAGAATAAAAGGAAATGGGATACCAAAAGATACAGCTAGAAAATTAGGACCTGGAAAATATTTGTGAAAAATCCAAAACATACTGGGCTAGAGGCATGGCTCAGTGGTAAAGTGCTTGCCTAGAGAGCACTAGGTCCTAAGTTCAAACTCCAGTACCACCCAAAAAAGAGAAGTGGCCTATAACATCTATTTAAACTCACTGGTTGAGGCCCAAAGAAACATAGGTCCCATGGTTTCCCTTATTTGCAATATCTAGTATATGTATGAGTCAAGCGGAAAAGGTCAGATAATGTGATGTCAGGAAAATGAACCCTTAGACATGTATTTTAATGTTTTTTCTTTCATGCATGTGTTTCTAACGCATTTATAAGACTATCTCTTTGTTGCTTTGTATGTCCCTCCCCCACAGTATAACCCCTGCTTTCACTATATTTGATGTCAGTATAACTTGTGGAGGAGAGGGGGAAAAAACAGTTGTTTAAGGATACAGGTGGACCTGATGCAACACGAGAAGTATAAGTTGTCATGTCCAAAACGAGCTTTACAAGGTCAGTCAGGGGGGGGGGAGGGGGGGAGGAGAAGGGTTGGGATTGGGGGGGAGGGGGGAGGCTGGGAAGGGATGTGAAGGGTAAACCAAAGGAGGAGGCTGCAATGCTTGGTAATAAATGTACGCATTATCCTGCCCATGTAATTGTAACCCCTCTGTACAGTATGTTCACAAATAAAAAATAAATAAATAAATTAAAAAAAAATAAACTCACTGGATGTTGTTCAGCAATCTATAACATAGTAAATTACAAAATAACAGTATGAAGCCTAAATGTAAATGAAAACATTAAGGGTAGAAGATGATTTCCCTTTATAAACTTATTTTGGTTAATAAGAAATTTTATGAATGAAAATATACTAAAATATCAATGGATTGGAAATTGATAGTTGCCACAAATTCCAAACTTAGTTTTTGTTTAACTCTAAGTAGTCAGTGCTGGATAAAAGTTATTTATCACAACTTTTATCCATAAAGAGCAATGTTTGCTCTTATAATGATGTTTGCTTCTGTTCCTTAAATTTTAGAGGTGATAATCCTTAATTTAATGCTTGTGAATGAAAAGGTAAAAAAGAACTCAAAGTCACACATGTATATATCAACAGCATACATGCTGTTAACATTACTCCTATAAATTATTTTATTTCATAAATGCTATGAGCATCATTCATATATTAGAATAGTTCTCATGCCTGAAATTCTAGGATTTCATAGTAATTGGGCCAGAAAAAAATTTAGAATTTGCAATGTTCTCTAAAACATTGTATGCTTTATTTTAACTGCTCCTTCTTCAAAAAATGGTTAATGTCCTCACTTGTTATGGCTTATTTTGCTACCACCAAGCTTTTACAAGTGAACTTTCAGTTTGAAATTCTTAGAACAAAAAGTGGAGGGGGGGAGTCTATTCATTACCCATTGGCCATCCCCACAGAGGACTTACCATGAACACCTTTATCACATAACTTAATTCATCCTCAATTGTAACCATAACAATAAATGGAAAGAAGGCAATGACGTAGATGAGGCTTCCAATCAGAGCGGCAATGTTCGTGTTGTTGAAGAAGACACTGATAAGGTAACTCATGGCAATGACAGAAAAGCTATAGTCCGAAAAATACAGGAACAAAATGAACCCATTTGTCTTAGGAAGAATATTGCCAAACTTGAGTATGACAATGAGGATTGCGATGGTAACCAGTAAAAATCCAACACTCTCTATAAGCCAGGCAAAGAAATGGCTACAGGAGTTCACGCCCATCATCTTCATGTACTGCAGGAGGAAGACAGTATTAGATGCTTCTTAAACTGGTCAAATCTTAAGTAATAACCATTTTGTATCATGATAAAATTTCTAAGAATTTCCATATACATGGAAGTAGGTATTCTAATGTTTTATAGATGTATGTATGCATGTATGTATATATGTATCTATCTATCCATCTATCTATCTACCTACCTATTTATCTATCTCATTAGACTATATAGACTATATGTAAATATATAGTATAAATACATATATATCAATATTTGTCCATGTGTGCTGTGTGAAAAAAATTACAATAGCAGACCATTTTTGTTTATATGCTCCTAGAGTGGTGCCTCAAACTAACAAATGATTTAGTGAAGTGCCCTTTTAAGAAAAACATTACAGCTCTAGGTCTGGGTATAGAGCCTCGTGGCAGAGCCCTTGTTTAGCTATGTATAATTCAGTCCCTAGCATCATATGCATACACAGGTACAGGAACACATACACACACAAATGGCAATTCTATTTTTTAATTCATATATAACTGATGTCACCAGAATAAATTAATTTAAAATATATAATCAAATTTGTGGTGTCTCCTGCACAACTTTACAACATGAGCTTGACCTCTGTATAAGCGTGGCTTTTTCAAGCTGGAGAACAACTATGCATGGCTTATCTTCAAGTCCAATGTGGAGGTGAAGATAATAAAAGCCCACATTTAAAAAGCTTTTAATAAACATTAATGAACAACACAATGTTATCTACAAGTTGCTCAGAGAAATAGATTTGATCCCTTAGAACTTAAAACATGGCAACATGGCTGCTGTCAATGGGAACCTTTTGCCTTTAGCCCTGACTTTTCTAACCTTACCATTCACACGCACTCTACAATCAGTTTTACCAGCCTTCTTTTACAAAAAGACACTCAGACACTGGCAATGAACTCAGGTTATTTCTTTCAGGGGTATTCTTAGATAATTCAGCGATATCCACAGGGCCAATGTAGCTCACCATCAAGGTAGCAAAATAAAGCTACAAGATCTGATTGTGTTTAACTCAAAATATTCTGAATGACTCTACAGTCCTCTGTGTCTTGGTGGCTAGAGACTTGTTAATATGGTACTTTGGAGGAATCTGGATATCCTGGTTTCTAATTTCATGATACATAATCAATGTTCAGATTTATGAATCTAGTATTATATGTTTTAAAAAAGAACAAAAGAAATGCTTCACCAACAACTTTATGATCAGATCTATAAAACTATGTACATTAGCCAATATATTTATATACATATATATGCATATACATATATACATATATTATATATATGATTTTCAAATTTAACTTGCCTAGGAAAATAACAGTAGAGTATGCCCTGGATTCTTTGTTCTACAAGCCAAAGTAGCAGATTTTACTTGCTGGCTTTTCTTCTCTCTTTTTTTCCTTTCATTTCATTTCTTTCTTTTTTCCTTTTTTTTTTTTGTAACATCACATTCTGATAACTCCATTGCTCTGTTGTTAGCATTGGAGACAGCTACTTGACTGCCAATAGTCTAAGATGAGGGCCTCATGCTAATCACCAATAAGAAAGCCCATGACTTTTCCTCCCAACTTTGCCCTCTCTTTCATCTTCTTTTCTGGCTCTATGTTCTCCTCCTAGGTCCTGTTACATTGGCAGTTAAAGTCTCAACCAATGCTGCCATAGGAATAAGAGTATGGTTCAAAGTGAAAAACCTACACAAGGCACAAATTCACTCTGGAATGTTTCCCCTCATTGTAGGTTTGGTATTTTTGAAAATGAAATTACATTTTAGAGTTGAAAAAAATATATCTTAGTTCAGCAATTTTTGCCTTGTCCTTCACCCAGTTTAAGAAATTACTGTGTCATATTTGATGTCTATACTTCAGATACTTATTAATTCCAATATGGTTATAATGTGTTAGCTTTTTTATTTGCTTTTTATGCTATTTATATTTTGAGATTTTCAGACATGTTACAGGTACTTGAATATAATTAAATGGAGGAGATAAGGAACCCATGTAACCATTTCACTTAAATATATGTGGCTTCTACAAAGACCATCACCAAAACTGCATTAGATATCAGTAGAGGGTGGTCTCACTGCATTTCGTAAGGCAAAAATCAAACATCTAGAAGATACCAAGGCCATGAATTAAAGCTGATATCATACATGTCAGTGTTTTCCTTCCTTAATGATAGCTGCAGTATAAAATATCTTTATATCTAGAATGTTCTCCACATACAGACTTGCTAAAAGATAATTTGCAAGGTTGGAGATTAGGGACAAAGGTACTTATCACTGTGATTTTGAACTTTTGGAGACTCAAGTTGGAATTCTTATTTCTAAGAGATGATAAAAATTGAAGACTGATAATTCTGGGGTTTTGTTTGTTTTTACTGAGACAGGCTGAGTTAGGTGCTTTCAAAAGCATCCACCATTGAACATGCCAGGATGAAATGGCAGTGTTAAATTTTAGGATTTTATGCCATTGGAACAGCTGCTATTTATAAAGAGAAAGAGCAATGAAAGCATGTAAGTCATCCATGAACTATCCAGATTTGCTGCCAACTTTGTGGTAACTCACAAGACCTAACTTGTTCATGGAAGATCGCCCATCGAGAATGGCTGGCTGTACTTTCTCAGATGCCACCAGTTCCTCCTCAAAGTGACAGATGTCAGGTGCCAGCTTTGCAATCAAAGAGTCACTTTGTCCCAAACCTCCCAAACCTGCCAGCCAGAGCAATTCATCAATATCTGATAACTGGTTGCTCTAGGGAAACCCCTCTAGACTGTGGTCAAAGTAGGCTATCTATCAGAAACTTTCTATCAGGAAGTAATAAGAAAGTTTCTATGAGATTTGGTTGAATGAATGTGCATCCACTTTCATGAGACCCTTATGTACAGAGGTGGACATTAATAAGGGACTGGAACTTATAAATTCATTAATGAATTACAAATAGTTATAATTGTATATTTATGGCTTCATATATTAATAAATTTGTTTGACAGCAATGTCATTCAATAAGTATGTTAAGGATAAAATCATTGGGAATAGTGAAATGCATTTTCTGCATCAATTTTAAAACTATTGTTATTTTGGTAAGATAAAAAGGATATTGTGGTCACTACTGGGAACTTTCCAAATCCCTACCAGTGGCATGAATAACATATGTCAAGAAAGCATTAAAAAAATCCCATTTAATATGAAGTCCCAGAGGTCTAAAAGTTCTTGTATAATTCTTGGTAACAACTCACAGATAATCTGACCTGAGAAAAAATACGAATTCTGTCTCCGACTGAACAGAACCACTGAAGGCTCCAATAAGAAGACACTAGAAGAAGCTCACTTATAGGACATGAAAATAATAAAAAATGTTCTTCTCTGTGCATTATTAAATTAGCTTTAACATTTCAATTACTAAAAGCAAATAATACAGAATAAAACTCAAAGAAAAGTCTTTTTTCCAACAGTGCTTTTAACTATAAGCTTATTTTAAAAAATAAACTTGTTGGTCATTAGTACTTGTGTCAATTTCAAAGATAAAGGGATTCACCAGAGACATATCATAAAAAGGTGAAAGATTAGTAGCTTCATTGAAATAGCAACTAACTTGGGGTCCTTGACCAGATATTAGAAGACTTACAAAAAGAAAGAAACAGCATTATAATTTTCTTTATCTTTTGGTTTAATTTGAATTTAAATGAACTAAGAAGCAGGTAGTTTTGCATTTTAATTGAACATGAAGTAGTGGCACTAATAAATGATGTGATGGCTCTGGAATTTAAGAGATTGTCTATTATCAACTTCAAAATTCTTTTTTTAAAAAATTATTGTCAAGAAAATGTAAGATAGTGAGTACCAGTAAGTTCGTGTTGAGCTTACAATCTCAAAAGTCTTAAGCAAAAGTATCCATGATATGAAAAAGGATTAGTCATAAGTCAAGATCATTAAGCTGAAGGCCTAGATCTATTGTTAACTAGGTCCATAGTCTTCAGCAGGCTACCACCTCTCTGCTCCATGCTCAGTCTTTTCATCGCTGAAAAGAAGCGGGGGGGGGGCAGGGCAGGTAAGATGTGATCTGAATGCAGTGGAGAGATTCTGAGTAGAAGCATTGGGTTCATTCAACTTATGCCATATCTACTTCTCCCAGTTCACTTTACAAATATACCCCATTCCTTTGAGTTAAGGTACATGGATTTTAAGATGTGCCATTATTTTATGTGCTACCAAGAAAGAAAAACCTTGTCAAAAATTATTACAACCCATTAAATTCATCTTAATTTTTGGAACTTAAAAAAATAAAAATTCAAATATAACATACAAATAAAAAAAAGTATCTCCTTTATTTTGAGATATCTGGTGTTTGGAAATGTCATCTGAGTGAAATCTAGATAAAACAACTCAAAGAGCTTAAGAGATTGGACTTAAGTCTACTTAGAAATGGACACATTGATTTCAAGTTCAGTGATTTTTCTACCAGATTACTTCGAGTTGGGTTAAAATTTAATAGTAGATGCTATCCCAAAGAAGGTGTATAAAGCTACCAAATAAAAACTAGCTACTTGCTTAGCAAATATGAAGACCTGGGTTTAGTTCCCAGCACTGCAGTGTCTTTCATACAGAAATGAATGTAGTGTACTTTCAATGGAAAGAAACTTCATTATGACTTTGATATCTTTGGGTGGCATACATACACGCATACAGATACAATTATTTCTAACACAAAATATGCGTGTGAATAACATACAGGTATGTGTAGAACATACATTCATATGTCTAGGTTGCTGTCACAAATAATACTTTTTACCTTAAAATATCTATTTTAGATATGTATTTTTAAATAGAAAACACAAATCAGTTTCTGCAAGTTTTCTGCTTCAAAGTTTTCCTTTAATCTGTGAAGATTCACTTCTGAGTACCAGAAACCCCAGAGAGTTATGAGGTAGGGGTTTGTGACAAAATAGGATCTGGGATATGGATCCAAGATTCAAAATTGCAACCAGTAAACTACTGCGTAGTGTAATGAACATAGCAGATCTAAACCATTTGATGGGGTATACACCAAATTGTAACTGAAATTAAAAATTGTAACTGAAATTAAAAATATGAACTATTAAGACAGAAACCAGTTTCAAGTATAAACACACTAAGTGTAGCTTTACTAGTGGCTCTGTAATACCTGTAATACTAGCTTCTCAGAAGGCTGAGATCTGAGAATCTTGGTTTGAAGTCAGGACAGCAGACAAATCTGAGAGACTCTTATCTCTAATTAATCAGAAATACACAAAAGTGGACATGTGTCTCAAGTGAGAGAGCTCAGTGAGCAAAAAAAGCTAGTTGAGAGCAAAAGTTCAAGCCCTAGTACTGACAGAGGGTGGGAGAGAACGATGAGAGAGGAGAGAGAGAGAGAGAGGAAATAGGCTTACAATTCTACAAGCCTGAAACTGAACCAAAAATAGGAAGGTGTGATGTATGTCTTGTACAGAGTAATAACTAATTGCTTAGAAGCATTGGCAACATATGCCTGAAATGTACACACTGACTAAAATTACTTTAACCTCATTATTTCAGATTTCCAGCTATATCTTACAATAATTATTGTGTCTTGGTTTTGAAATGTTTCAACTTCCTTCCTATTCTGCAAATGAGCATAAGAATGGACTCATTACATGATCAGCAGATAAATTAATTTCTATTCCGATACAATCTAACAACTACATAATGCTTTATCATAAATTCTTCAAGGAGGTAACATATTTGGATTTGGGGTTAATGATAAGGTGCATGCCCAAGATAAGATCATGTTCCACACTCTAGATCCAGCTTTCAATAGTTATAATATTATTAACCTCATCACTAGCATAACATGAAATCTTCGATTCCATAACTTAGGAGTCACTGGGGAATAAAGGAGACGGTAATTGAAGAAGACAAAGTATACTAGAAAGAATGTTTTTCTCGAAAGCTCAAATCAGCCACAAGTCTATATCTTTGGTTATATCTATATCTTCATTTGAACTTGCTCAGTTACCATGCCAACAATTTCTGGCTTAATTGTTATTATTGCTGTTATTTAAACTTTCTTTGTTAGATCCTGTGTTCTATAGGTAATTTTCATAGGCAAAATTACTCGTGATTAAATTTGTACTCCCAGTTTATTCAAAGTTATTCAGAGTTTGTTTTTCAGAAGTACTGGTTAAATGACTTTTGTGTCACTTTACGAGCAAACAAAATAAAGCTGCCTTTGTGGTTTGTAAAATGTTTGTCTTCCTATCTAATCTACAAGGTATAGGTTAGGCATTCTGAGGTTGGTGAAAATCATAGTAATTAACTGTTCTTTGAATAGGACTTATTCATAACAAGGGAAGATTCCCAACATACCTCATGAAGCCGAAGGTCTTTCTCATAAACAAGCTTTTTTACAAAGGCAGCTATAAATACCACCCAGGCAACCATGAGCACAATTGGAAGAGAATAAGAGACACTGGTTAGGAAGCTGTAAGACAAAAACAGAAACAAAAGAATCCAGTGACTAACATGAATATCACCCTGGTAGACCACAATATGCAATGAATACCCTCCCACTTTTACTGAAATTATACTTCCAGTTGGAAATAAAGAATGACAATTGATATTACCCCATTACCTATGAAGTGGGTAGCTGACTTAACAATGGGCCCATCATTTTCTTACTGTCATGCTACAAGAGTAAAAACATAGTTCTGAACTATTGGATAATATTACTATATTAAGTGAAGTGCCAGGCACCAATGGCTCAAAGCTGTAATCCTAGCTACTCAATGGGCTGAGATCTGAGGATCATAGTTCAAAGCAAGCCTGGTAGGAAAGTACATGAGACCCTTATTTCTAATTAATCAGCAAAAAGCTTGAAGTGGAGCTGTGGCTCAAGTAGTAAAATGCTAGCCTTGAGCAAAAGAACTAAGGAACAGTGCCCAGACACTGAATTCGAGCCCCTGTACTGGCATAAACACACACACACACACACACATACACACACACACATACAATTCCATATTGTTTAGGGTGTGTCTAAATATATCCTGTGTGGGGAAATATTTATTATATAGCAATAATTGCAACATTTAAAACTCTTCCATCTAAACTAAATTCTTCCATAAAAGGCAGATTTAAAATGAAATGCTGGATTGTTTTCTCTAACTAAAAGCTTTATTCCAAAATTACAATATCGGATCCTAGGAAACTCACAGTTATTATTAAAGTAAATTTCCCAGAAAGAAATACAATGAAGTCCAAAACATTTGATTTAAAATGTAGGCAAAGAATTTGTTTGTTTTTCTGAAAAGGAAATGTTTCACAAATGGTATAGAAGTGTCTTTTCTTGGGTAATGTGTAAAAACCTAGAGGACCATCTCCTCAGGCTCCAAAGGTCTTCTTGTGTCTCTAGATCAGGATGCTTGAAAGTTCAAGTGCAGTGGTTCTCTGTGCTGACTGAACATCGGAAGCACTCGAAAAGCTTATTAAAACCCAGATTTCTGGACCCCATTCATCAACATCTGATTTTTTCATATCCAGGATAAGGCTGGAAATTTGCTTGCTAAACAACTTCCCCAAGGGCTGCTCTGCTAGTGGTCCAGGGAGTCATGATTCTGACAACTGCAGCCCTGGTATGGGCTAAGATAAAGTAGGAGTTGCTAATGGACCTCTACATTCAGCTGTTTTGCATGTTGGGTTCCACAAAAGTAAAGTCCCAAGGCCGTTGCTGTTGAATCCATCAGGCTAAAGAATTACTTCCAAGGTTCCCAAGGAAAACACAAGTATTAAGAGAACATGATGCCACTAACATCTATGATCACTTTAGCATGCTGAAATGCATCACTACCATAAAGCTGAGATGTTCAGGGGAGAGAACACTGATACTTAGGGACAAGATTGAGTACATATTCTTGGGAAGTTGGCATGGGATAGGCATTTGTAGAACATTTATTGAATGAATATTGTCTTGGACTAGGTCCATGCTTGATGTTGTTTCTGGCTTTAGAATTAAGCAAAGGCCCTCATTCATTAATAATAATGAGTCTTCTGTAATGTTTCTTCCAACTGGTGTGTGTTTTAAGCTTGGTCTACTTTTAATCAGAACATGCTGGATTTGTAATCAGAAGAAGCAATGCAATGTACTCTATATATGGCAAATATTTACCCATATGGATTTCAGTTTCATTTAGAGAGATGGACAGTTCATTATCCCATTTAACTTGTGAGTTTGTTGGGTAGAACAACACTGTATTTGAAAGAAGTTTGGATGTAACAAAGAGGTTATGTATGTATGTCAGCCTTATAATCACGTTCCCATAAAGAAGCAAAGTACTGTACTTATTCTTTAAAGAAACATCCAGGCATATACTATTTTAGCTTCTAAGTATATGGAAAAGACTAGCTGAATATTTTCCCTTGCATGCATAGGTTTGAAGAAATGAACAGAGGTGAGTTCTCACAAGAGTGGACTATAATCAAGGGACTGTCTTGAGGGGATGAAGAAAAGGAAGAGCCAGAGAGGGACTAAAGAGAGTGAATGAATCATATTGTGTTTCAGCCCAAGCCAACCCACTGAAAGCTATTAAAAATAGTGAAGGAGGAGGGATGGAGAAATGGCAAAGTAACAGAGCAGGGCTAGCTGAGCAATGGACAGTACGGTAATGTATGAAAAACCACAGTGAAACCACTTGTTCAATTAATATACACTAATAAAATAGTAGATCATTAAAAGGCTACAAGAGCCAGACACTAGGGACTCAGGCCTGTAATACTAACTACTCGAAGGCTGAGATCAGAGAACCATAGTGCAAAGACAGACAATGCAGGAGAGTCTGTGAGGCTCTTATCTCCAATTAATCACCAAAAAGCCAGAAGTGGAGCTGTGGCTCAAGTGGTAGAGCACTAGCCTTGAGAAAGAAAAAGCTCAAGGACAGCTCCCAGGCCCTGAGTTCAAGCCCCAGTATTCGTACAAAGGGTTTACAAGAGTCCCAGACTTACTTGTCTTTCATGAAGCAAGGATAAGGAATTGCTTGAACCTGAACAGCTATTTCTTGCGAGTTCCTTCCTGTTTGCAGTTCAATGATGGCTCGTTCAATACTATCTTGTAAATAAATGAAGGCCCTGCCATAGATCTGGTTGTGTGATGGAGAATTGTGTGGCCCTGGAGCCCAAATCTTGGTTCTGATGCTTCTTGTCGTCTGGGCGGTCTTCAGACTCATGCGGATGGTGTATTTTACGACAGGAGGAAGAAAGACATTTTCAGAGTCATGGCCTCTGTGCCAACTTCTGTTAGAAGGAAGCTTAAAAATAACACCTAAAAATAAAATATCAACAACAGCAGAAAGCTTATTTTATGGGTGACATTATTCATTGTTCAGAGGGCACCCATAAATGAAGCCAAATAGTCAATTGAGTTAGGAACTCAATAGCAGGTTCCGATTTCTGATTTATAGAAAAGATGGTTAATAGGAGGTATCAATCTCACAGGTTCCAGTTTGGAATTTAAAATATAATCTCAAACTAAGTGGCTAGATAAACTATGTCACGCCAATCCACTTATTAAGATTACAAAAACATCCTACTTTTAAATGAGTAATCTTGACTATGAGGATGGACTCAACTTCACCCTTTAACCATGTAATCCTTTTCATTCTTAATTTTAACTGATCAGTGAAATTAGACTTCTGTTGAAGGCTCCAGATACTTAACCAATATGTCTGGCTGACTATGTGAAAAGTTCTCACCTGTAAGAATTCTGAAAGGGGATTGACTATTTTTTTGAGTTCTAGATGAATGAAGTAAGAAAAGCATTTGGTCTATATTAACACAAAGTAAAGCTCAAACCCTGGGAGAACAGCACTCACTTCCAAAGAGTTCATTGTTTTTGTAGAGACTTGCTGCTTCTGTCTCCATTTCCTCTACTGTGTTGGCTCCCTGAATCCGGTCATAGAGTATACAAGAGGAAATATTTACAGTCAGGGAAGATAATGTATTAAGCTGATCAATGATGTCAATGTTGTTCTCTAATGTCAGTCTGAGGATGTCTAAGGAAGAAAGGCAAAAGAGAAAGACATACTATAATCTTTATTCTAGCAATTCTCAGAAAAAAATAGTCATTTTGGGGAAAATGTTAAACATTCATTTAGATTATAAACAATGAGATGCCATGAAATTTATTCTAAAAATACCCAGTCTCCTATCTGTTGGAAAATATTGCAAATATTCATTGAGAAGAATATGAGTTCATTAAAAATACAGAAAAACCCAAGTTGGAATAAAGAAACAGGGCAATTTAAAAGTCCATTGCCGGATGCCTGTGGCGGATGCCTTCAATACTACTTAGGAGGCTGAGACCTAAGAATTGCTATTTGAAGCCACCCTTGGCAGGTAAATCTGAGACTGTTAATCACTAATTAACCACCAAAAAAGCTGGAGGTGGAGCTATGGTTCAAGGTGTAGATTGTCAGCCTTCAGTAAAATAGCTCGAGGATGGTACCCAGATCCTGAGTTCAAGCCCTAGTACTAGTGGCACACACACAAAGAGTATATTGTTCTATAATCTAATTAACAAAGGACACCACAAATTAAACATAAAAATACCTTCACATTTTTAGGAAGAAAACTATGAGCTAGAAATGATAGCTTAAGTTACTTAAACAGAATCCAAGCATGGTGGTACATGCCTATTATAACCTCAGGATTTGGGAGATTGTCCCAAGAAAGTCATGATCCCAAAGGCCTGCTTGGGCTACATTCCTAGAGAGACCTGATCTAAATAAATAAATAGACAACTAAATAAATAAATAAATGCTGGGAGCTCACATCTGTCTCCTTTAACCAGTGAAATCCTGCACTGGAGGTGTAACTCAAGTGATAACCAGTTATGCAAAAGAAAGCCAAGCAAGAGTTGAGGCCTCCAGTTCAAGTCCTAGTACTGGTAAACAAAAATAGGAACTAAAGGGCTGGGAAGGTGGCTCAGTGGTAGAGCGCTTGCCTTGTATGCATGAGGCCCTGGGTTGGATTCCTCAGCACCCCATAAGCAAACAGAAAAAAGCCGGAAGTGGTGCTGCTGCTCAAGTGGTAGAGCGCTAGACTTGAGCTGAAGAGCTGAGGGACAGCGCCCAGGCCCAGAGTTCAGGCCCCATGACTGGACCCAAAAAACAGGAACTAAACTAAAATGAAACAAAAATGCCTGGTTTGTACAAAGAATGTGCAAGTACAAAGTGATATGAACAGGAAAAAAAACTTATGTGAAGTAGAAAGTATTAAAGAAATAAACAATATCATCTCCTGTGCTCATTAAGGTAGTCTCAGGAAACATTTAAGATACATGATAATCTTTGCTACTTTCTAATATTGTTGATTAAAAAATAAAAGTACATGGGCTGAGGAGATAGCGCAGTGGTAGATTGTTTGCCTAGCATGCACAAGACTCTAAATCTCATGGGCTAGGCTCTAAATAAATACATACATAAACAAAATAAATAAATAAGGACATAAATAAATGTTCATATCAATTATCTCTTGTTATCTAATATTCATGTAGACAAATGATCAAAATTTAATTTCAGGTAGTTACTTTGGAAATAAGAGGATTTGATTGTTCTTCAATTTCATGATTCCTTGTGAAGAATCAACTCAGACAAAGGGTAAATACAAATTGCACATTACCTAATCATTTGGATAATTAAATGTTTACTAATTCAATCATCATGAATACTGAGAAAGCTGTAAGCATCACAAATCGTTCCTCTCAAATCTAAAAATGCTTCTTACATTGTTCAAAATGAAACTAAGTTTCTCACAGAGGGAAACTTTTAAAATGCTTTTCTCATTTGAATTAAAAGCGAAAAGTTTTCCTTGATGTGAACATTGGTGGGGTAGGAGCAAATTTGGTAGAACAGTAGCTGCTAGAAGCCAATGGAAATCAATACATTACAAAGGGTTCTTTAGAAAGTCTGATAGGCAGAATCAAAGAAATGTCTACGCAGCCAATTCTCCAAAAATTGAAGTATGTAATGAAGCATCTTTGATGTTAGTTATATATGCAATTATACATAGCAGTCTTACCAGTATATTTCAATCATATATATTTTCATATATACATTATATACATGAATGTATACATAAATGTCTGTATATATATAAATGTATGCGTATATATCTATCTATATGTATATTCCATTTTTGAGAGCAAATCTAGGGCCTCAAGCATACTAGGTTCATTGCTATGTTTATTTTGCCTTTATTTTACATTTAAACCTTATCTCCTATTTTAAAAGTAAAGAGTGATAACATTTATATAAGAACTTTTTAGTGTAATCCTGATATTGTTATCAAATGATGCTTTATCCAAATAATATTTTAAGAGAATAAATCCTCTAATATCTTAATTGACATTCATAAAATACATACAATTATATGCTCTAGAGATATATACAAATATGAGCATAATTCCTCTCTACTGGTATACTACCTAAGTCATTTGTGTCCCAGCAGTGCCGGAGGGGAGCGGGGGAAGGTGGGGCATTGTCTGGGCTACTGCCAAATTCTGATGCTCTCAGTCTCTTCCTTACACTCATGGTTGCCTAGCAACAGTGAATCAGACACAGCCTGAATTAGATGTCTTGCATCCTCTGGGTTGAAGATGGGGATGTGGCAGAGGGAATGCATAAGTTCACACTATTTCCTTTGATCCTTTGCAGCCTGTTCCTTTTAAATGACCATGAGAGGAAAACCCAACCTTGAATACTGATTTTATTTTCTCTGGAGCCTCCACATTCTTTTGTTAACTCTAAACCCTTCAAATTATATCTTGGATTAGTTAAGTGATATTGAGCTAAATGGGGATAAAATGTAAAATGTAGTCTGAAATAAATAATTTCTTCTTCCTGTGTCCTTAAGGATGTGCTTTGCATCAAATTACCAAGAAATGAAAAAAAGACAAAATAAGATAAAGGTGCTTATTACTTCCATATACCTACCTATGATTGAAATGAGAGCTGAATTTGCATGTAGCAGTACAATTATTGAAACTAAAAGCAGATGAGTGTTCAAATAATCATTACTATTTGAAATAGGTAACAGGAGAAGGCCTCACATTTCTTCCACTAGCTAACTAAAAGCTAAATACAGAAGAAAGGAAGACAATGTTTTTCACACTTCTGACACGACAATGAATAAGAGGATTGTACAGCTGAACTTACCAAGGTCATCTATCTGCTTCAGGAGTTCAACAGCATCAAGTCCCACAGAGAATTTCACAAAAACTTGCACAAAAGGGTTCCTTAGAGTATTCTAAAAAAATACAATACAAATCAGTTTCAAAAAAAGAAGAAAACATGTTTAATCATTGTCTCAAAAAAAGAAAAGCCACAGTAAAACCAAGTAACCACCACTGGGGATTATCAACACATCACCTTGCAAAGACTCTGCAGAAAGAGAAAGAGGAAGGTGGCAGATAATGCTAGGTTGAAAGGCTAGATTTTTGTTTTCCCATGATCACACATTGGGCAGATCACTAAAAGCAGACAGAGCTGACCATCACTATCAACATTAGGAAATCATATTCAACCTAAGAGTCATTTTCTTCATAGTAGTTACATTTTTAAATTTCTTAACATATTCTATAACTAACGTGGTTCAGTTGAATTTTGTATTCTTGAAGCAAATCAAAACAACTTTTAACAAGCACAGTGTCCACATGGAATCTGTCATCATAATTGGTCTGTATTTCAATGACTACTTCTCAGCTCTGAGTTTTTTAGCACACACCACTAGCTCTTCCAAGTCCTTACCTTTCTATAAGAGCAAGGTAAGTAATGACTCAGCATTGAAAAACTATGCCTTATTTCAATATTGTTTGAACTCTAAGAAGTGCAACTCTATGAAGATGGAGGAATGAGTTAGTGACAAGACTTTAAATCGCTTCCTAAATCCATAGAAACACCGAAAGTTAAAAAATAATAATTGGGGGGGGGAAGGGGGAGGCTGGGAAGGGATGTGAAGGGTAAACAAAGGAGGAGGCTGCAATGCTTGGTAAGAAATGTAAGCATTATCCTGCCCATGTAATTGTAACTCCTCTGTACAGTATGTTCACAAATAAAATAAAATTAAAAAAATAATAATAATTGCAGCCATGCATGCATTGGTTGCTCATGCCTATAATCCTAAGTATTCAGAAAGCTGAAATCTGAGGTTCACAGTTCAAAGACAGCACTGGCAGGAAAGTCTGTGAGACTCTTATCTCCAATTGGCCACCAGAAAACCAGAAGTAGAGCTGTGGCTCAAAGTAGAAGAGCCTAGTCTTGAACAAAAAAGCTCAGCAACAGCATGTGGGTCCTGAGTTCAAGCACCATGACCAACAAAAATAAATAAATATGCAACCAATTGAATAAATAAGTAACAGTTGCTTCAAATTCTACAAGTTTTATATTTCTATTCCTGCCATAGGTATTGCTGCCTCTTTTTACTCCACTGACTACCGTCAGATAAGAGTTTGACTTGAATTTCTCATGTGTTTTATAATTGCATCTTGAAAAAGTATGTTACTGCTTGTATGTTGCTGGGAATTGAACCTGGAGCCTTGTGCATGCTAAGCATGTATTCTGCTTCTGAGACATATTTTGTGTTAAATGTTTAAAGCTTAAACTGTATATGTTTATTTCTTCAATAATTGAGAAAAGCAAGTCTGGGAAGGTGGTTCAGTGGTAGAGTGCTTGCCTTGCATGCATGAGGCCCTGGGTTCGATTTCTCAGCACCACATAAGCAGAAAAAGCCAGAAGTGGCACTGTAGCTCAAGTGGTAGAGTGCTAGCCTTGAGCTGAAGAGCTCAGGGACAGTGCCCAGGCTCAGTGTTCAGGCCCCATGGCTGACAAAATAAAAATTGAGAAAAGCAATTTATTTTGTTCTAGGTCAGAATAAAGATACTTCCCTTAGATGAAAATCCCTCTGTGAACACAGTCTCAGAGATGCTCATTACTGTACTTTGAGACTATTATGCACAGAATAAATCTTTTTGTTAATTCTCCATTTTAGCTACCAAAACTTTCCTTAATAAATCACTATATCTATCTGTTTCTTTTCTTCACAGAAAAAAATGGCTTTAGGAGAAAAGAGCAATCTTCCATTTAGTATAATTCATACATTAATAAAGTTTTATTCAAGAAATATTTGTTATTGGAGAGTCGCTGGAAAAAGTCATTTAAAATGGGCATACTTAAACTTCAAGTCAAAAATCAAATAGCAAAGTATTGGGAAGTCTGATGAAAAGTTTACTTCGCCTATATACTTTTTGTTGTTGTCAGTCCTGGGCTTGAACTCAGGGCCTGGGCACTGTCCCTGAGTTTCTTTTGCTAAAGGATAGCACTTGAGCCACAGCACCACTTCTGGCTTTTTCTATTTATGTAGTATTGAGGCTTCATGCTTGCTTGGCAAGCACTCTACCACTAAGCCATATTCCCAGCCCTACTTCATCTTATATGTACTGAATGTATTAAGTATCTATTTTCATGTTTATCTTGTTATTTTTTTAAATTCAAGTTACATTTATAACTATATGTGCTTGTTGACCAAAACAAAGACTGAGGAAAGCAATTTTTGAGTATAATTATACTAACAAAAGTATATGATACAAATCATTTATGCCATGTTTAGCTTCCTAAGCATTATTATTAAAAAATAATAGCATTTTTTTCTTTTGTAAAATCTATTCTAGAACATCATCATTTTTCCAAGGTCTTCTCTTTGCCACGAAAACCACTGTTTTCAACTTTTCTACTGTCATCATTCCTGCCTATTTTCTTTCCTCTAGTTGATAAGTAGGCAAGCTCAGCCATTTGATATTTAGTTGCTAATAGCTCTGTCTGTGATTTTCAATATCTTTAGAAAAGCCTTCATCTTTTAAGAATTGCAAATTATACTGACCTAGTAGTGTACATTTTTCTAGAGCTGCAATGTTAAGCTTTTAATTTACACCTGAGTAAACCTGAAGCTTTGTTTATGTTTTGCAGGTGACAGTTTATTAGGACATTTTTTCCTCTGGGTATAAAAACATTTGCTTCCCTACATGACCTTGAATTTAAGGCTCCTATGTCATTGTTTCACTGAGAACACTGTGTGTATAATCTACAGAAACACATTTGGAAGTTAGTAACAACTATGTAACATGTACTTAATTTTCTCCAGACTGTTACCACTGTAGGAATTCCAGTTAAGAAAGCAATACAATCAAAAGAAGAGAAATAGATAAAGAAAGACTATTGATTTATGCCACTAGTTGTAGGCTAGTCTGTTAGATGACTATCTCTGAGTTACAGACAAAGGAGATTCCATAAAAGAGGGAAGGGTAATTTAGAATGTGAATGATAGATCTGTTATCTAGTCTTAGATGGACCCCATCTCCAGAGAAGAAGTAATTATAATCTATTAAATATGGATGTTGTGTTGTTGCCTTCACATAATAAAGGTGAATAAAATCTCAAAGAATTATTTCCAACTAAAGCAAGTAACAACCATCTCATACCTGGAGCATTGGAATTGCCTGGTTTAACAGGTGGAAGGAATTAAAGAGGATTGGTGACTTATCTATCCACTCTTGAGATTTTTCTCTTAGTTCTGCCAGCTGCCTTAGAGTTACATTAGACTTAAAAAAAACAGGGAAACAAAAGAAAATTAGCATTTTTCCTATATTTCAAAATCACATCTAAAATTGTTATGTTACATAACTTCAAAAACAGTTCTGAAAGGTAGTTAGTAATTATAAAAATATATTCAGGAATTTCCTACACAGCGAAACGTTTTATAAAAGTCAAATCATTTACAAAGCTCTGGACGTATTGGGCTTCCCTGATGTCCAGAGTAAATTTATAGACAAAATGAAAGTAAATCTTAAGTATATTTCACAAAGCTTTCTTTTTTTTTTTTTTACCAAAGATACACTTAACTACTAAAGAATATTCCAGTTTAAGGATACTCTTGTGTGTCACTGCTGGAAGCAGACCTATCTTGGCCTTTTAAGGAAAGTAGTCTGACAACAGTCATTAAAGTAAAATACAATATTTATTAATACCTGAATCATGAACATTCATTTCATTGAAACAAAAACACATACCACTATGTAAAACTAAAGTATATGGATATGATCTATAATAACTAGTATGGTATAGCAGTATTGGTAGCCTTATTATTTACATTAATAGATGTATTAGGAACAAAATGAAAGCCAAACAACTGAGAAATGAATGAAATACTAAGCTATCCATGCAAATATGGAAATGAAAACCTATATTTTAATGATTCAAACTAGTTATGATGACTCAATCCTTTTACTTGTATAATTAGCTAGCTACCAGTTAAAAATATTCTGCTTTTTTTGTGATGAATTTAAAAGTTTGAGGCCTTGTTGATTCAACTAAAATCCATTCTCAGATGTCAACAGGACTCATTTCTATTAAAAGGCAATCATCCAATCCAACCTATACTGTTTATACAATTCCGAGATCAAAGTTGAAAATTAATAGTTAACAGTTTCAGAAATACAAAAATAACAATAAGAGTGGCTGAGATACAAAGAATTCAGAGGCAGCTAAAATTAAATTAGAAGCTATTTACTATAAAAAAGACATGTTAATACTCAAAATAGAAATACTGAGTTAAAAAAGTCAAACCTTTTCCATGATAGCTTTTGTAACTGGGTTATATGGTGCATATAAAATCTTTCCCAGCAACATTGGTTTCAAGAAAGCCCAAATGACAGGTCCAGCAGGCATGTTGATAATGTCTTTGTAAAGGGAAAAGCAAAATGGTGCTGGAAGTAAAAATTCAAACAGAAAAAAAAAATCGTTCACTAAATAAGCCCATCTGTAAGCATAATTATCACACATTACTTAAAAAGAAAGCAAAAAAATCATTCAATATGATTATAAAATCTACTCTCAAATCTACAGTTGAACTACATTTGAAATCCACTCTGTTATGGTAAACTGATACAAATTATTATTATTATACCTCAAAATATATGCATTAACACTGCCTATATTAACGGATGCTAGGTATCCAATATTGAGTAAAATACAGAAGCAAAACACAGTAGCAAATCTTTTTTTGGGTGAGAAAGTTTAACTCAATAAGCAAGCCTAGAACAAATGGTGGCATTTTGCCATGAGGAATCATAAAGATTGAAAACTGCATTTCAGAATCGCTTCCAACAGATCCATTTCACCAACCTTTAATTTTGTAAAAATACACAAAAACTTACTACTGGGATACTATCAGATACATGAACTATTCAATAAATGTTTGTTGAATCAATAAAAAGATGAATGAATGAGTCAGTCCAATTGCTGTACTAAACATTCGTATATTTTTGGAAGAGCTCCACGGATCACATTTTGCATCTCAAAGTTTATAGATCAAGTAAACACCTTTGATGTGCCACTAAATGTTTATAGCTTCATGGCATTCGGGCAGCTCTACCATATGGAATCTCAATTTCTAATGCTACAAATATTGACTCAGACAAATTTAAAGCAAGGTTTTGTATTATCTACTGGTAATGAAAAATCTGTATGACTAACAAATGCTAGGTTCAGACAAATGACACATAAAGATATTTTTGTCAATGGCGGACCACCTGTATGACAGTGTTCCTGTAAGATTAAATTGTTTAGGGGTGCTGTATCCACCTTAGGCTTGGTATGTTTACCCTACGATGCTCACACAAACAGGAAATCTCCTAACAATGCCTCTCGAAATACATTCCCACTATTAGGTGATTTGTGATTGTCCAGTGTCAACTTTGTAAGAGTCCAAACAATGATCTAATAAAGCTGAGTGATGTCAGCCAGTTACATAGCCTTTGTGTTCCTCTTTTCCCTTAAACCGACTAGGGCAATAGATATCTCCCAGGGCTACTGTGAGATATGCATGCATTAATACGCAGAGCATGCTTCCCCTATGCTAAGTACCATATAAGTGTTTTCTATTTTTATTCTTGGGGGAAATTAATACATCACTTATCATGAAAGATGGAGACAGATTTGATAATGTTCTTAATTGTCATTATGAATAATTATCATGCTTATTTTGCAGTACACTTACTGGCATATAAGGGAATCCCATACTTTGAAGCAATTTGCTCTTTAGTGAGCTTGTAAGTCAAAAAATCCTTGGTATGGTTGCCTTTTGGTTTCTGAGAAGAGGGCAGCATGGAAGTTAAATAGTCGGTAGTAATCCCCTGAGAGCACAATGCTTGTGAGATGGTACTGAAGGATCCTTGGGGGTTGCTCATACGGTGGCTTTTGTACATTTCCTGAGAGACAAAAACCCAAGATGTGTTACTATTCTATAATCTACAGACAATAAATAGAAGGCAAAGTAATGCCTATGATCATCTTAGTTCCAGCAATTCCTTTAACACACGAATCCTCAGTATAGATAAATAGACGATGACACACTTTACCAATTTAAGTGGCAAAAACCATTCCCAGATTAGGAGTGTTTTCTTTGGCCAGTTTTTTCCCCAATGTGCTAGATTGGAAGCTAAGTTTACATGATCTTAAATCAAAGTTAGTATGACAGAAAGAAATTCTTGGTGGGAATCTCTGGGGTGACTTTTCTACCTGGGTTAGTGGAACACTTCTGGGCAGGTGCATTTGTTTCAGGGATCTCATCTTGTCCAACAGCGGATGTGTGCCAGAAGCCAGCTGATTGAGGATTTCTTTCAGCCTTATGAAGAGTTCTATCATCTTTTCGACGGGTTTTTGATCTTTCCTAGGGAAGAACACCTAATGGAAATGGACTAAAAATAAATGATTTGTATGGAGAAACTGGAACCCTGATGCACTGCAGAGAAGAGTGTAAAAAGGCACAGCCTTTGAACAGTGTTTTGAATATTAATTACATCATTAGACATAAATTTGCCAGATGATTTGGCAATTCCATTCCCAGGTAACTACCAAAGAATAGTGAAGTCATAGGCTCATACAAAAATTTGTATGTAAACAATTATAACAAAAGCCAAAAAGTAGAAACAACCCAGGTGAATAGACAAACAACATGTATATCTTTAAATGAATATGATTTGCAATATAAAAATGTGACATATGTTATAACATGTAGGAATTTCACTAACATACTAAGTGTAGTAAGCCAAACACAAAGACCACATATAATCAATCAAATTTATATCAAATGTCTGAAAAGCTAAATATATAGAGATAAAAGTAGAGGTAGCCTGGATTAGATGTTATTACAAGAAGTGATTTCAAACAACATTTAATAATTAGAGAGGCCTCTTTTTGGGTGATAGAAATGTTCCACAATTGTATTGTGGTAATAGTTGCACAAATGTATACATTTATTTTAAAAATCATTGAACTGAAAGAGGAAAAAATCCTTAAAAATGGGCAAAGAACTTGAATGCGTATATCTCAAAAGAAGATGTGCAAATGACCAAGCATGAAAAAATGTTTAACATCACCTATCATCAGGGAAATGGCAATAAATATATATGATATCATAATATTATATGATAAATAATTCTAACCCTACCCCACTTATAATGCTATTATCAAAAAAACATAAGAAGTGGAAAAAATAAAACAAAAATGGCAAGACAGACTCTCATAAATTGCTGGTAGAAACATAAATTAGTAGACCCATTACAGTAAGCAGTATGGAGTTTTCTCAAAAACCTAAAAATAGAATTAACCTAGGATTCAGGAATCATGTTACTAATGATAAATACAAAGAAAATGAAACCAATGTCAAAGAACCACCTGCACATGCACTCATTGCAGCAATAACCCTAAGATCAAAGGCACACGAGCAAACTAATGCCTGATGAATGGAGAAAGAAGATGTGGCATAGACATAATGTAATATTTCTCACTCATAAAAAGAATTCTGTCATTTGCAGAAGTGTAGGTGAAAATTGAAGGACATTATGTTAAGTGAAATAAAATCAGGCATGGAAAGATACTTGACATACAGTCTCACTAACAGGTGGAAATTAAAATGTGGACCTCCTGGAAGTAGAAAACAGATAGTAGTTACCAGGCCTAGGAAGGGCACAAGGGAAGAATAGATGGAGAAAGGGATGCAGTTGGCTTGATAGGATAGTTAGAGCTGATGACAGTAAATTGAGTATTTCGAAATACCTTGCAGAGAAGATTTGGAATTATTCCAATAGAGAGAAATGGTAAATATCTCTAGTGATGGACGTTGTAACTAGTTTGACCTGATTATTGTGCAGTATATATGTGTAATAACATGTCAGAAGTGTGTGCAACTCGGTGCATGTTAACTTAAAATATTTGTGAAATCATTGAGTGGTACACTTAAAGCAAGTAAATTTTGTTGTATGTAAATTATATCCCAATGAGTTTACAAAAACAAATGATTTTAGAAGTGAGAAAGTCACATGTCATGATTGACATACTATCCATAAAAAGCTCTGTTGGTAATCTAGTAATTTGTCAGGCTTACTGACGTTAATCTCATCATGTTTATCTGCTTTAAAAACAAGAGGGAGATACTTTAAATATTCATTCATGTATTCAGTAAACATTAATTGAGTGCCTACTATGTTCCTGGCACTGGGTGAGGGACTGGGTATATGGCAGAACACAAGTTGACACCATCCTTGAACTCAAGGAGTTCTGATTTAAGAGGAGGAACAGATATATCAAGCAATATAATAAGCAAAAGGCTGAGGGACCTGCAGACACATTAAGGGTTCCGCTGAAGTGAGCCTTATATACATAATAGACAGCCTTAAAATGGAAGAACATTCTGTTGGTTACATTAAGAACGAACCTGGATAACTTTATGCTAAGTGAACTAAGGGAGGCACGGGAATGCAAATACAACACAAACCACCATCGCAGTGGACTCTCACAGAGCTGAACTCACGCAGAGAGGAGAAATGGAGGTGACTGAAGGCTTGCGGGACACAGGGCACAGGGGATGTGTTGGTAAAATGGTGCAGAGTTGCAGTGACAGAAGAGAAGTGAGATTTGTAAATCTACTACATAGTAATAGTTGTTCAGAGTAACATATTGCTTGTGGCAATGTACTGAATATCTCAAAACTGCAAACACATGGATTTTAAACATTCTGGCCAGAGAATGGTAGTAAGTATGTGAGGTGGTAGATGTGTTAATTAGCTTGAATTAATCTTTGTATATTATACACTTATATCAAAATATCACACTGTAACTCAATAGGAAATGTATGTAACCCCTTTGTACAATATCTTTACAATAAAAGTATATGTATTAAAAATATCACATTGTAGCCCATCAACACATGTAAGCATTACTTGTCAAAAATTAGTCTTGAGGATATAGCCTGGTGATGCTTGGCTTATGACTGCACCCCCTGCCCCATAAACAGAGGAAAATTAAATAAAACCTTGTAAGATTAGACAGAAACCAACAAAAATAAAAGAGAGAAGTACAGAAAACTTATAGGAGAGATGTTTTCATGGTAGAATTCTAAAGAGTGAGATAGAATACTATGGGAAGAATAAGAAGAGAAGTTTACGGTTTAATGTGATAGTGCACAAGTATAATCCCAGCACTCAGAGGACTGAATGGGTAAATCATGTGTTTTAAGCTAGCACTGGCTATAAAATGAGACCGTCTTTTGTACATACATTCACATACATACATACATGCATACATACATACACACACATATATCCATTCAAGCTGTGCACTGGTGGCTCAAACCTATAATCTTAATAACTCAATAGGCTGAGACATGAGAATTGAAGTTCAAAGTAAATTCAGGCACACAGGTAAGACTCTTATTTCCAATTAACCAGCAAAAAGCTAGAAGTAGAAGTGTGGCTCAAGTGCTAGTGTTTCAGTGGAGTTATTTTCAACTTTACTACTCCCTGACAATGACCATTTCTTTTGTTCTACTACGCAAGTAATGATAGTCTACCTAAATCAATGGGAAGTTAAATATCTATTTAGCAAATGTGTAACCATGCAATGTCTTTAATTGAGGCCCCAGTTGGCTCTATGATCATGTCATAATTCTGAAAGTTATATAATTGATCTCATCTTTTATGGCAGAAGAGTGCATGCAACTGTGGTTAAAATTTTTGCCTTAAACCATGTGTATCAATATAGCCAACACCAGCTGCAACTTGCCTTGTAGGTGAAGTTGTAAATGTCCAAGTAATGCAACAAGGTGAGCCCAATGAGGTAAGACTGCTGGGATCGCTCTGAAAGGGGAAGCTTGCAGAATTCCTTCATGGCATCTTCTAGTTTGGGGTTTGTGACATTAGAGTCACAAGAATGCAACCAGAATACACGAGAAATAATCTGCAAATGAAAGGAAGAAAAAATAGTTTGTTATGAACCTGGCCACTCTGAGATTTTTGTGTACTATAAATCTTAAACTATAACAAACTGTCCTCAGAATTAAATAACCTTTTTATTAAATATATTTTATTGTAAAGATACTATACATAGGGGTTATAGTTGCATGAGTAAGGTAATGAGTACATTAACTAACTTCTTAAAGCACTAGTGACTATGAACAAAGCTAAAAAGAACACAAGGAACAAGATAAGGAAAAAGAAAGAGGTCAGGTATCAGGACAAGTCTCTGACATCTGAATCACTGATACCAAGAAAAATTTGGAGTGGGTTTGAGAAAATTACTAATTTTAGCCTTGTGCTCCTGTTAAATATTTTACTCCTGTTGGATTCAAACTGCATTTTATTTTAATACTTACTCAAAGTTACCATCTTATATAATATACTATTTAGGTTTGGAATGATAAAAAGCCCACAATCACTCATCCCAGACAGTCATGCTTTTAGCTGGAATACACTCTGGGGAAGTAAGATGGTACCTCTATGTCTCCAGATGTTGGAACGAGGGGGTAAAAGGCTACATTTCCCCTTTCCTCTTAGAAGTCATAAGAGTGCACCCCTTCTGTTTGTATATTTTTGTTTACTCAAACTGCTCTTCAGAAGCCAAACATCCGATTACAGATATGAGATGTTAGGAGAGATCAAAGGGAAGATGTAAATAAACATTACTTCACTACAAGGACAAGAGTGAAGGAGAGTGGTTTTCACTCTTGTGTGGGGGAACCAATTTAAATGACATGAGTAACTTGAATATCTTCCAAGGGTGTCAAGGCTTCTTATGAACTTTATCTAATATTGGAGAATAACGGAGCTGTGCTTAGAAATGACACGCTCTGTCACATGTTAGTGATGAACAGAGGAAGCTTTCATCTCTGCAGCTCTTTTCGAAAATTTCTATGACACTTCCAAACAATGGGCTTGGAAGAGGGATAAAAGATAAGACATTCTAAGTAGAAAACTCTATTAACTACCTAGGAGAAAAGAACATTATTCATTTGCACATTTAAAAATAATGTTTACCACAACCACAAATTTACCTACAGTTTCCTTAACTATTGTCTATTATGTATACTAAGTCTTAGTGTTGGGACTTTAAAAAAGTAAAAATGAATATGTAGTTATGTGTAAGTTGCAATGAAGAATCAATGATCTTTGTGTTCTTTTTCTCCAATTAGGTCACTGAAGTTTGACTTTGATATCCTTAGAGGAAGGGCAAATAATATGCTTTAGACAATTTGATTATCATGGTCATTGTAAGTGTGCTGGGAGGTTTTTTTTTAATCTGTCTGCAGGTAAAGAAGAGAACAAAATGAAGGTGAGGAGACACATAAAAAATATAAGGAAATGGATACACAATAATATTCTTGTTTCACAATTTTTCTTCTATTGAAGAATTAGGCCACTTGGGCTTGATGTAGTAGCACAGCTACTAAGGAAGTCAAAACAGGAGGACCTCAGTTTGAGGCCAGCTAAGAAAAGTTAGTAGGAGACAGTGTACGATAAACAGAAAGACTTGGACAAGGCTCAACATGGCTTTCAAGTGTGGAGCCCTAAATTCATTCCCCAGTAACACTTCCCCAAAAGGATTAAGTCTCTTTCTAGGAATGGTAGTGAGGAAGAAGAAAGAAAGAGAGTGGGTGATGAATACCAAATACAGTCATATAAAAAGAATCAGTTCAAGGGTGCTAAGGAGTAAGGTGAACCTTAGTTTGTAAAAACTTACATATTTTATAACAGAGAGATGGTTAAAGGCACCAAATAAAAAGAAATAATAAATATTAAAAAATGGAAACACTATTCCATACACAATGGAATTCTATGCCTCCATCAGAAAGAATGACATTGCCCCATTTGTTAGGAGATGGAAAGACTTGGAAAAAATTATATTAAGTGAAGTAAGCCAGGACCAAAGAAACATAGGTCCCATGGTTTCCCTTATTTGCAATAACTAGTATATGTATGAGTCAAGCAGAAAAGGTC